GATTCTGGCAGAGAGTGTGCGATACGGATACTTCTTCTTTTTGCATAAGAGCTACGGAAGATGGCGTTACACAGATCTACTCATACGGGGAACTAGACTTGATTAGTTTTTATGAATGTACGCGAAGTTCATTTGCTCTTATCCAACACTAGCTGGCTTGCCCGGCTCCGCCGGGCCTGCCAGCTAGACCCGTGTACGTATGTTCCGTTTAGAAGTTTTTATTTCTGAACCGATTGGGACCGAACCTTGCACACATACACTTCGAAGCAGGGAGCCACCCCCTTCGGGGTGATCAGCATGCTCGATTACCCCCCTCTGCCAAATCCCAGCCCTCTAGCTCGAATTTTGCAAAAAAATTAATAAAATCGATACCGATCGATAACGAAAAGTAGCCTATGACACGCTCCCTGCCCCGAAGTATATGTGTGCCAAGTTTGGTCCAAATCGGTTCAGAAATAAAAATTTCTATTCCGCACATACGTACATACAGACAGACATACATACACACATTCAACTTTATATATAAGATTACACAGCCTCAAATCTTTTTCTTGATCTTGTAGAGACTTTGCACTCCCGTCCGAAGAGTGATACTGCTTCAAATCTCTCGCACCTCATCTCCCAAAAAAATCTCATTTTCATGAATTGTCCTTCGCAGGCGTAAAGTGGATTAACGTTACGGATATAATTAGACCAGCTGTGTGTGTGGAAATGAGATCTCCTCCCATGCCTTTTCCTTTCCTAGTCTTTATATTTCTCATGAAGTTTGTTTGCAGGCTAGGAAACGCAGTGCAGGCAAGCCGGTCTCTTGAAAACTGCCGAAGTATAGGAGAATGTCACAAGGTGAGCAATACCTTTTCAGATTAAATAGGGAATTTCTAATTTGAAGTTTGTGAATTTCAGCTCCAGGCAACGAGAATTTTTCTGGCGCTGCCACTTCGCAACATCAACATCCAGACTAAAGTCTCCGCATACATACGCGGAATTACGCCCTTTTAGACTTCAAAATCAGGTGAATTTAATGTTTTTCAATCGAGGCTGAAGAAAATTGAAAAGAAAAGCTGAAAAAGGTTTAATTTATAGTTGATGTAAGTGATTCTGTGGGATTGTGCAAACGAAGAAACGTCTGAGTTCTCGGCTTTATCGAATCCGTATGCAGTGAAAGTATCGGGAATCCTATCGCCGGACACGAGCATGTCATCGCAATACACGACAAGTAAGTTGAATTTTGCTTCAAGGTCATTGCTGTAGTTGGTGGTTTGAGCTCCTGAGTAATGACTTCCAACGTTCGCGGATAGCCGAGGGTCGGTGAACGCTTGACGAACACTAGCGATCCTATGGGTTAATGAAACTGAGGCTAGGAAGCGCTCTATGAAGCAGGTATAGAGTAGTATTCTTTTTAGAAGCTATTAAAGAATCCCTTGGAAAGCCCGAGGGAACTTCCGTCTTCGCTTCAGCGCTGTATGCTGGAATTTTACGTGATTGTTCAAGCGCAGTCAAGTATTTCTCCGATCTCCGAGAATTTCCGAGACGTCATGCGCTCGGTGCAAAGCGCAGAAAGATCGCGCTTTGGCACACTTTTTGACCACGCTGAAACAATTCGGCTACTAGCGGAAAATGACGTAGCCCAGCGAGTCCAGGGAAGTCTCAGTAGCTGGAATTCTAGACTAGTATTAACACTATCAGATAAACCTTCTGCTCGTGTTCGCTATGGAACTTAAAGAGGAAATCAGTCGTCTGCGTCGTTGCCAGCATATCATTCGCGTATTATAGAAGTGCAAGAGTTCAAATGCGGCAATCTTAACGAAGATCATATATTGAGCTATCAGAAACCATTTAAGGTGTGCAGAAAGGGGGGGGGGAGAGAGGAAAGTGAACTAATTTCTTTCTTATCAAGGAGGTGAATTTAAATGACGTCCTCTGTCACTGCAGTGCTCCGAAACTATCGGCGGGTTGCTCAGTCAAAAAAATTACGGATTTTCTGCGAAACATCTTTTAAGAGGTGTGTGAGTGAACAAGATTGCTGCCTGTCCGTAGGTATCCATTCCTACCAGTGGCGGTCCGAGGAATTTTTTTCGGGGGGGGGGGCGACAAAAATAGTTTTCTAAAGGAGGTGCGTGGCTTTAGCCACGCACTCCGAAAAAATTTTTGGGGTGCTTCTCAAAATTTTTGCGGATCCCCGACCCCTAAAATCTGGAAAAATTTTTTTTATAAGGCTAAAATGAATTTTTAAAAAATTTTAAAAATTATTTCAATTATTTTCAAGTGCAAACGAATCGTTTGCACATTTTTACAACCCATATAGGTAAGTTTCAAAAATTTCGCGACCCATCCTCGGGGGGGGGGGGCGCCCCCCCCCCCCCGCCCCCCCCCCCTCGGTCCGCCACTGATTCCTATTATCCTTCACTATGAACATGTTGGACAGGAGCGGGAAGCTGTACGAATCGCATTTCCCAGCTTTTCTATGATCCCTGATGATCCCCGGCGCTTTTCTTTAAAGTCATTTTTCTTTCTTCGAAGTTAACGAAAAACTTCCAATGTTGTGCAGATTATCTAACCCAACAGTGCTAAGCATGTTGCTGATAAGAACAAATGAAATTTGAAAAATCGAATTTTTCGGCAAACCTCAAATCTTGACCTGTGGATCATCGAAATTTTTATGACTTCAAAACGTCAATTGTTCTTATCAGCAACATGTTAGCACTGTTGGGTTAGATAAGGGTGCCTTCATACCGCGCCGGCAGCCGCCGCTAGAAGCCCGTAGCAGCCGCCAGCAGCCCGTAGCAGCCCGTAGCAGCCCGTAGCCGCCGTTGGCCGCTTTTGTTATAGGAACGCAAACTCATCAGTACTTTGAGAATCTTAGTACCCCTGTCTATTCTTTTCATTTTCCACGCTTTTCCTTCTATTGCCACCAGTAGTTCGACTCACATATCATTTTTGTGTCCATTTCATTATCTTGACGCCGTATAGTTCATTCTTTGAACCATAGGTCGCAGAAGTTTCTTTCCTTTGTGATTTCCTCTGACTTTGAATGCTTTCTTTTCCTGCAGGTGTGCAATCTGTTCACTTTTTGAGTATGCTTTTGCTTCAGCCTTCTTGTTAGATATCGATGCATATCTAAATTGCAATCTACTATTTCGCAAATTTGCAGAATTGATTCGCGGGTGGGTTCTTCTGACTTTGACAATCGCTGGCAATCGTTATAGACAAAACAGATTGCAAAAGTGAAATGTAGGCTCCGATAGGAGGATGCAAAGTGCGGCAACAGAACAATGGAGCAAATGCAATGTGTGAAATCAAGCTCACATTCGGGGCAAGAGAAGAAAAAGCGTTGAAGATGAAAAGCGTAGGTAAAAGCACTTAAAGTAGTAAGATTCTGATAATTTTTCGCTCCGGATCAAAAGCGGCCAGCGGCTGCTGCGGGCTGCTACGGGCTGCTACGGGCTGCTGGCGGCTGCTACGGGCTGCCAGAGGCGGCTGCCGGCGCGGTATGAAGGCACCCTAAGCTGCACAACTTTGCAAGTTTTTCGTTAACTTCGGAGAAAAAAATGACTTCAAAGAAAAGCGCCGGGGATCATCAGGGATCATACAAAAGCTGGAAAATGCGCTTCGTACAGCTTCTCGCTCCTGTCCAACATGTTCATAGTGAAGGATAGTAGGAATACTTACGGATAGGTATGATCGGCTCCCAGATTCGTGTGGAGGTGTATTGCAGACTTTACCTGATAACACATGTAAACTTGCTAAACCTCCACGTCATAGCATTGCTTTTCGTAATCTCTCGCTAGCAAAAACCGCCACTGAGTTGGCAAGACTCCACCTCCACACGAATCTGGGAGCCGTTGATACACAATGTGAAATCCAGGTATCTGGAGTTTCGACATATGAAGCTTTCTTTTAAGCTGCGATCCCCTCCCCGCGGCCATGTTAGTGCATGCGGCCCTTAGGTTGTGATCCGCCATACGAAATATGGGCTTACACATACCCAGTGGCGGACCGATGGAGGGGGCGGGAGAGGGGTGCCCCCCCCCCCGAGAATTTGTCGCGAAATTCTTAAATCTTACCTATATGGGTTCTAAAAATGTGCAAACGACTTGTTTAATTATGTAAATAATTAAAATAATATTCAAAATTTTTGAAAAATTCAAATTAGCCTTATGAAAAAATTTTTTCGGGGGCGTGGCTGACTTACCTGCTATTGTATTTGAAACCATATTCCTGTTGGTGCTCCGTGCTTACAGCTATTGGAATATTTGCTAAAATGGAGTTAACTCTGGACAATGCTCAACGCAAGGTATGATTGTGGATTTGCGAGAAAATTCTTTTTCGCTCCATTTTCAGGTTCTCATATTTGTTTTCCAGGAGTAGCTTTGTTCGTAATCACTTATTTGACTTCCCCTCAAATCTTCGATTTTGTTCTATGCACGCCGCTGAATAAGGGACTCAAACTCTACGTAAGTTTCTTGACTGTCATTGATTTGAATCACTGTATCTGCTATTCTCTCTGTTTACAGCAACCACAAATTGTGCCAAACTGATTAGGCCTAATCATGCGCTCATCTGAATACTAACCCTACCACATGTATGGCTGCCGCACCACATTCAAACGTTCTTAAAGCCAGTGTCTCACCAAAGGTGAGGTCGCGCGGATCTTCACATCTCTCTATAATGAAGCCCTGGAGATGACTTATGCATGTAAGATATCCCCCTCCCCCCCCCCCCTTCGTGGTCGCGATTCGGATGTCAACAACTTTGTCGTTATATGCCGGTGCAGCTGCACCGAGCCGTGGCTCATGATGGGTGGCGCCTGTCTTAGATGATGTTGATCGAGAAGCTTTAGCAAAGCAAATTTACTTTATCGACGAGGCAACAAGCAGCTGATTATTCTCTCTTACCTTGATGTCGTCCATGCGATCGAGGGTAAGAAGCATCCCATGGAAAATGCGTTATATAGCCATAGAAAGTTCGAGACAACACGATGAGCAAGAAGGAGCTGTAAATTACGTATCGAATGTCTCCCACCCATTATGAAAGATTTCCTTGTTCACCTGGAAGAGGTAATTCAACAGCTTGAGCAGATTCTCTTTCCGGTTGATCTCCTCGATTCCATGGAAGTTCTCGGCTTCAAGCTCTTCCAAAGAATTGAGTAAGATCTGCAAAACTGGACAGAGGCTCCAAGAAGAAGCATGGTTAAACAAAACCAAACATAGATTGGTGCCGTAGATAAGTGAAGGGAGAAACGAGATACGAACCTGCAAAGCAACAACTGCCTGAACACGCTCTTCGTAAGCAAAGATGTCGGTTTCAATAGCTTCGTGCTTCTTGTTTGCAGCCTGAAGCAGAAGTTACTTTGGTTCAACAAAGAGGAATATTCACTAGTACTGTATACCTCAACACTAGCAAGATCAGATCCGAAGTTATTCTGGCTGACAAGGCGTTGGTTCTCAGTCAGCTATGTTTCTCTCATATCAGAATTGCGGTTGAATCGAGCAACCAACTGTTTGAGTTTCTCTTGACGAATCAACTCTTCCTTCAGTGCTAGTTCACGTTCATGTTCGGCTTTTTCCAAAGTGTTCCATGCCTGAGAAAAAATCATAAGAAAAAAAATGAAAAAGGCCTCATTAGTTGAGAAAATAGAAGCGCTGAATGTCAATGAAATCGGCAAGGCAAATGTAGGCAGCTTCTATATGCTGCATTATTTAACGTGCATTCTGTGCCCTTATCTCTGGACTTCTCAGGTTTGCAAATGGCTTGCAAACTTCTGGATAACGTACTCTATTTATGTCTTCAATGAGTTTGCCCTCACGAGGAAATAGACGCTGAGTTGGCTCGCATTGCTGATTGCAGAGTGAACAGAAGCACTTCAAGCTTGCCTTTTTCTTCGAACCTATATGCAAAAGCTCCATTCATAATACAAAATAACTAAAAAAATTTCAAGAAAATGCAAAAAATAACAAAACATTCACTTTGGAGGTTTCCCTTGCGTGCGAGGGAGCTCTAAATAGGCCATTGCAACAAGTCCCACTTAATTTGACCCCCTCCATGCTGAGAAAAATTCGCTCAAAGTGGTACGCGGAGAGCGAGTTGGTACGCGCGGACGACTCCTTCGGTCTCCCCCCCCCCCCCTTACCGTTTGAACATGTTCCTCCACTTGGCATCCACCTCCCCTCTGTTGCTGCCACTGTGGCCGAGGCTGAAACTGAGAGGTACAACTCGTCCACCTTGCTTCCACGGGGCCTCCAGAAAACGGGGTGTGGTGCGGAAGGCGACAATCTCCAATTTTGTGCCTATCAAAAACTCTCCGGTGTCAAAGTGACACCCCGGGGGACTACGGGGGTGGGGGGTGGGGGCAGATACATTACTCAATGCCACAAGTAGAAATCCGTGGAAGTCATTGAGACGGATGATACACAGCCTCCACTTTTCGCCGATTGTCGCCTTCCGCGTGCCCCCCCAGAAAACGGGGTTTTGGGGAATTCCGCGCGATTTTAAACCCATACAGTGCTAGACAGGGTCCGACAGGCTTGCAGAATGCAAAAATCTCGGCACTAAATTTTGGTGAGACACTGCCTTTAAGCAATTTTGCTGTTTTGGGGAATCTCTTGCTTTTGTCTTTCAACGTGTTGTAGCATTTTGACATATGCCTCAGTTCAATATTTTGTTTTCAAATGTCTTTGTTCACTTGTATTCATTGCCACTTTTGATCAGGTTGCTTACTTGCTCTATCTCATATCCTCTCCTCTTTTCTCTTCTTTAATTACTAATCATGATATTTTGTAGCTCATGACACCGAGTGCTTATAACTGATATAATCTCTGTTGTTATTTTACCTCATTTTTTTGTGTGCCGGCAACGGTTGCCTGTGGTGCATTAAGGACGAAAGCAATTGCCAGCCGCTAATGCATACGTACGGCGATGCGCTGTTTTTCTCACCAAGCGCGAAATCCAGACTCAGTGAAATGAGTAGAGTTAAAATACATTCTATACTGAGTAATTTTTGCACGCAACCCGATGTGAGGGCAATTTGGTAATTCTACTGCGAAGAAAAACTTGGAATATTCGAAGTTTTACCTTTGAAACCTTATCTCACTATTTGCATATTTTTGCAGCTCATTTTTGTATTTTCAACTCTTCTGTGTAATTAAAAGGATGAAACGAGGAAATCCTGTAAATTTTCACCTACTGATGGCCAGCAATCAGGGAAAGAAACGCGCAGGTTATTGACACCCTCCGCGTATCGTTCCTGTAGCTTGCCACCCCGGTTGCCGATATTGCTGGGGAATTAGAGAGCGCTCAACACACGGAATGCACAGTGAGGTTTTAAAACGGCTGGCAATTTCGGCAACAGTTGCCGGCAACTATGTCCTTGCGTGCATATTTTTTGGATGCTTGGTTCATAATGAAGTATTTTGTGTATGTTAAAGAGAAATGTTGATATGCACTATGTTCTGTTTCATTACCATACCTTTGTCTTTTGATCACCATCTCTCCCTCCCCCTCAATTTTTTTCCAGACTCGGTGTATTTCAGTGCGGTTGCACATCACCATCACCATTATCAGCAGGATAAATTAAGGTTCAACTACAAAATTTCAAACTGCATTAACTCAGGACAGAAAGGATTATCCAAGAAGGTGATTCTTCTTATATGCAGTTAGGCGATTAGCACACATGATAAAAGCTCTATTTTCTTCAAGGTCAAAATAAACATCTGCTCAAATTTAGCAGTTGCTCGTGCGGTTGCACTTTGTAACCATCGACACACCTGTTTCTTTGAAGTCCATCGTAAGTTCTCTCATCATCATCATTGGTAACATCATCATACTTTTGCCTTCATATTATTTTTTAATTTGCTTTTCTGGTTTTTTGAGTTGATTTGCTTGTAACTCTTCTTTGTTCGAAGCAAAAGAATTTTTGTATGATAGAAGGGACTCTCTTATCCAATATCATCATCATACTGTTGCCTTTCATTGCGTCTCTCTCACTCTTCACATGTTATACTCTTTATTGTAGTTACTGGGACCCAGCCTGTGACTGGCCAAATCAAAGGCGCTCAGTTTCAGAACGTACCTTCTCAAAAGGTAATTCTTTAGTACGCATTATAATAAGCGATTAGCATACCCACTCAAAGATGTTTTTTCAGTAACCCATGCTGCGTGCGGTTGCACAACTCAGCCTTCGAAGACTTGGATTCGAAAGTAGGACTCGATCAACGTAAGCTTGTGTGCCTCTTTCAAGCTACTTATAGAAAGTAATTTTGTTAGGGGAGGGGGTTATATGCCGTACCTATGATTTTGAAAGATCTCTAGTTGGCTTTTCTTACCTCAAAGGTCTATGCAGTTTGATCGGTGTAAGTAATTAGGAAACGGGGGGGGGGGGGTATTAGCGGGTGTAAGAAATTATAGGTACCTATAGTTCGAAGTTCATCCTTGGGTTCGAGGACCTGCCGTCTATGACTGGAGCAGAGTTTGACATGGTATAAGATCCTCCTGATATGGCTCAACCGTTGTCTGAAGTATGACGTGGCGTTTTGTAGCTGGCAAATATCATCTTCCCTCTAGTCGGAGCCGCCGCTCTCTGTCCATCTCCATTATGCACTGCATCCCTCGTCGGGTACTGGTATTGCATAAAGGAACTGCAAGCTGTAGAAGATCTTACCACCGTGAACGTCAAGTTCGTACAAACTGCTATGTGTCTTGTCAAGCAACTCTGGCATGAAATGTCAGACAGCATGTTTACGTTAAAAGCACATGTGGGTTTTTGGAGGTCTGCAAGGGATTGAGAAATTAGGCACTTCCAGAATCTATTTGACCATTGAGTTCTCAAAGAAGTTGAACTATACGGCAGTCCTTATGTATGGAGCGCAGCCCCATTCGAATTTATTCACCGCATTCTGCAAGTTCCGCATAATCAGTATGTATCGAACTCCAATGACAGAATTCTTAATAGGTACGAAGTGATTTCAATAGGTAAATTTTGAGTGTGTCCAAATGAAGAAGCTTGCGGTGCTCATGGAAGAAGCCTTTCTGAGAAACCATTCTGGAAGATTCGAAAGTTTATTAGGCGCTATGAAAAACGAAGCGAAAGGCGAGCGAAAATTGTCATCGTGTATAGGCAAAAGTTATTGTATTTGTTTTGAGTGAATGTCTCGGTTAAGATTCCCCCTGAAGGTGCAACTGGCGGCCGGCTATTATGTACCCGACAACAGCGAAGTGGCCATAAACACTTTAACAGAAGACCATCGGATGATGTTCAACACCATAGAGGGATGAGCAGTGTTAAATTGTAGTGCGTGTTCTGCAAAAGCTTTGATTTGCAGTAATAATGAGCGGATATGCAAAAGCCGTGTTTTTTAGTTCACGTGTTGTCGTAAATGGAAAGGTTTTTTGCTCGAATAGATACTGGCAGAGAGAGTGCGATACGGATACTTCTTCTTTTTGCATAAGAGCTACGGAAGATGGCGTTACACAGATCTACTCATACGGGAAACTAGTCTTGATTGGTTTTCATGAATGTACGCGAAGTTCATTTGCTCTTATCCAACATTACACAGCCTCAAATCCCTTTCTTGATCTTGTAGAAACTTTGCACTCCCGTCCGAACAGTGATACTGCTTCAAATCTCATGCACCTCATCTCCCAAAAAAATCTCATTCTCATGAATTGTCCTTCGCAGGCGTGAAGTGGATTAACGTTACAGATATAATTAGACCAGCTGTGTGTGTGGAAATGAGATCTCCTCCCATGCCTTTTCCTTTCCTGCCTTTATATTTCTCATGAAGTTTGTTTGCAGGCTAGGAAACGCAGTGCAGGCGAGCCGGTCTCTTGAAAACTGCCGGAGTATAGGAGAATGTCACAAGGTGAGCAATACCTTTTCAGATTTTCGAATAGGGAATCTAATTTGAAGTTTGTGATTTTCAGATCCAGGCAACGAGAATATTGCTGGCGCTGCCACTTGCCAACCATCAACATCCAGACTAAAGTCTCCGCCTACATACGCAGAATTACGCCCTTTTAGACCTCAAAATCAGGTGAATTCAATGTTTTTCAATCGACGCTGAAGAAAGTTGAAAAGAAAAGCTGAAAAAGGTTTAATTCATAGTTGATGTGAGTGATTCTATAGGATTATGCAAACAGAGAGACCTCTGGGTTCCCGGGTTTATCAAATCCGTATGCAGGGGAAGTATCGGGAATCCTAACGCCGGAGACGAGCATGTCATCGCACTACACGACAAGTAAGTTAAATTTTGCTTCAAGGTCATTGCTGTAGTTGGTGGTTTGAGCTCCTGAGGTAATGACTCCCAGCAATCGCGAACAGCCGAGGGTCGGTGAACGCTAGACGAACACTAGAGATCCTATGGGTTAGTGAAACTGAGGCTAGGAAGCGCTGTATGCAGCGGGTATAGAGTAGTATTCTTTTTAGAAGCTATTAAAGAATCCCTTGGAAAGCCTGAGGGAACTTCCGACTTCGCTTCAGTGCTGTATGCTTTTTTCTCGAAGGAATCGTCGACGTTAAGTCGGGTTTCTGTAGAGGTATACCGTTACACCACTACTTTCTAAAAAGATCTCGGAACTTTCAGCAAGTTTTACATCATTGTTCAAGCGCAGTAAAGTATTTTGATTTCCGAGACGTCATGCGCTCGGTGCAAAGCGCAGAAAGATCGCCCTTTGGCACAATTTACGACCACGCTGAAACACTTCGGCTACTAGCGGAAAATCACGTAGCCCAGCGAGTCCAGGGAAGTCTCAATAGCTGGAATTCTAGACTAGTATTAACACTTTCAGACAAACCTCATCCTCACGATTATTCTGGAATGTAAGGAGGAAATCAGTCATCTGCGTCGTTCCCAAGATATCTCTTCGCCTATCACAGATGTACAAGAGTTCAAATACGAAAATCTTGCCGGAAATCATATATTGAGCTATCAGAAACCATTTAAGGTGTGCAGAAAGGGGGGGGGGGAGAGGAAAGTGAATCAATTTCTTTCTTATCAAGGAGGTGAATTTAAATGAAGCCCTCTGTCACTACACTGCTCCGAAACGATCGGCGGGTTGCGCAGTTAAACAAGTTACGGATTTTCTGCGAAACATCTCCAAAGAGGTGTGTGAGTGAACAAGATTGCGTCAGTTTTTTCATGATTCCTTTTAGATTTGTGATCCGCCATACGAAATATGGGATTACACCTACCGTGCCACAAATTCTCCCCGAGGAGATAACAGTTTGATTAATTTGCCGGAAGGCATCAGTCGCACCATTACAGGTGACGCTTTTTTCCTAAAATAATTTGTCTTGTTGTTAGTATTTAACGAATTTTTTTAGAGTTCATAATTGATGCCGTAGGCCTATCCCATCCTTATACTTACAGTGGAAAACTTGCAAGCCTGAGAAATTCCCAGGAAAGGTTCGCATCAATATGCTTACAAGGAAAGTATATGATCGCATAGCAAGCATATATAGAGGGTTTTTTTGCTCAAAGACGCTCAAAGACCTTTGGACTGATTTACTTCTCATAGGCAAGCTGCACTGCGACTTATATACCTTTCCTGTTTAGATTAGACTTTTTGAGTTACCCACTGTCACCTGTACAGGTTCTGGAAGGCCCTTGGCGACGCCGAAGAGAATAAAGAAAAACATTTCAAGCAACTCTTAAGGCGAAGACGACCTGGTATGACAACTGTAAAACTTGTATGACGCGATCCCTGTAAGTTAAGCTATTTATTTGTCTCAAACAGTGGCTGTCGCAGGATTTCCTTCCAAGAAGGGGAATTTTTTTCTAAATCAAGGTGAAAAACATTCTTTCAGAAAGATTTTTGGAGTGCTTTTCGAAATTCCTGCGAGTACATAACCCCTAACTTAGAAATGGGGGGAGTCAGTTCCACATTTTTATAACATGTATTCAAATTTCAAAAATTTCGCCCTTTCCCTTCTGTCCGCCACTGATCCCAGTTTATTGTTTTGATGACGTAATTTTGGCGTTTGTTTACAGAGAGGACATCCGTTCCTACCGCATGCACCACGGCCAGCTAGTCGCTCCCAAGGTGATTTTTCACAGCATTATCTTGAAACATCAATGCTCGCTCTTAGAAATACAAAGCAACCCTTGAGACGGGACTTTCTCGTCAACAAACGGCGGAAATGTCATCAGAAGAGAGAGAACAAGCTTTGCAGAATTCGTAAGAACTCGTCTTACAAGGATATTTTTCTCCATTGACTGTTGTCTTTTTTGAATTGTTCCCTCTAGATGAAGTCTCTTTTTTTTCTTCTCTAAAGTCGAAGATGGTTCCCATGGGTGTGGTGCAAGAGTAGCGATAACAATTGACAGCCGCTGTTTCCATCGCATGGCGATGCACTATTTGCTCTACGAATCACGGATTTTAGGTTCATTGAAAATGAGCAGTGTTGTGATAATTTCTTTACTCAATGAATATTGCACGAAGGCCGATGATAAGCCCACTCTTTCTGATGAAATCGCAAGGAAAACCGCGAAATGCTTATAGTTTAAATTTCGAGCCTATCTTGTTGTCTCAACGTACATTTACACCACATGATCAAACAAGCAAAATTGATTCAACTTTTCGATCTAGATGAAAGCGTAGGAGATTATGCCTTGAATTTTTGCATTTGAATGGACGAAAATGAGGGTAAAAAATACGCTGGTTAGCGATATTCAACGCCATCGTCTTTCTTGCTCACCACCCTTCTTGCGTGTTTCAATTATTGTACTTATTTAGCTGCATCGATCTCTGAAGAATATCTTCATTATTGCATTTTTGGAATATCTCATTGGAATTATCATTGGAATTTATTGCATTTATTAGATGGTCCGAAAGTTCGTGCCGTTTTTTAGAAAAACGGCACAAACGGCAAACGGCACTTACAAACGTACAACATGCAAACGCTCCAAACACTATGAAATCCTAGCAAATTGAGACTTTGAAAATGGATTATGTTTGAACACTAATTCCATCAAACTAGTGAGTCACTAGCTCGAAATATTAATTTTTGAAATTTTCTAGTGCAGCTTGACACTCACCAAGTAATCAAAATTATATTTAACTCGAGGACTACAAATCGGTAAAAAACATCTAATAAAAAGAGAAGGTGAAGGTGCATTGAATGACACCCTAGCTGTTTGCCGTCTGATGTTTTACGAAGTTTGGGATGGATAAATATCTAATTTGGTAGCATCAAAATGATAATTTTAGAAAATTTGAAGAGCTAGCTGTTGATGCCAAAAATTTTCAGATGTCTTTGTTTGCATTCATTGCCACTTTTGATTTGGTTGCTTACTTGCTCTATCGCATATCCTTTCCTGTTCTCTCCTTTTATTACTAATCATGATATTTTGTAGCTCATGACACTAAGTGCATATAACTGATGTAATCTCTGTTGTTATTTTACCTCATTCTTTGGTGTGCTGGCGACGGTTGCCTGTGGTGCATTAAGGACGAAAGCAATTGCCAGCCGCTAATGCATACGTACGGCGATGCGCTGTTCTTCTCACCAAGCGCAAATTTCAGACGCAGTGAAATGAGTAGAGTTGAAATACATTCTATACTGAGTAGTTTTTGCTCGGGGCCAGATATAAGGGCAAATTGGCAATGCTACTGGCAGAAAAAGCTTGGTTCTTGAAATATTTGAAGTTTAGCCTTTGAAACCCTTTCTCACTAATTTGACTTATTTTTGCAACTCATTTCAATATTCATTTTGAGTTTAATTAGAGGTATGAAACAAGAAAATTCTGTAAACTTTCACCTACGGATGGTCAGAAATCAGGTTAAGAAACGCGCAGGTCATTCACACATGAGGTATCGTTCCTGTTGCTTGCCACCCCGGTTGCCGATGTTGCTGGGATGTAAGAGAGCGCTCAACACATAGAATGCACAACAGGTTTTACAACGACCGGCAATTTCGACCGTTGCCGGCAATCTATGGCCGTTCTCTGACGCTCAAATTTTGTCATTCCATCTCCTTTGGTAACATTCAACTGACTGCATAGATCTTTGAGCATATATCTTGGTTACTCACAATCAAATTTGCAGTATGCTTTGTATGCATATTTTTTGGATGCTTGGTTCATAATGAAGTATTTTGCATATGTTAAAGAGAAATTTTGATATGCATTATGTTCTGTTTCATTACCATACCTTTGTCTTTTGATCACCATCTCTCTCTCTCCCTTAATTTTTTTTCAGACTCAGTGTATCTCATCGTCAGTGCGGTTGCACATCACCACTATCAGCATTATAAATTGAGGTTCAACTACAAAATTTCATACTGCACCAACTCAGGACAGAAAGGATTATCCAAGAAGGTAATTATTCTTATATGCAGTTAGGCGATTAGCACGCATAGATAAAAGCTCTATTTTCTTCAAGGTCAAAATAAACGTCTACTCAAATCTAGCAGTTGCTCGTGCGGTTGCACTATGTAACCATCGACCTGTCTCTTTGAAATCCATCGTAAGTTCTCTCATCATCATTATTGGTAACATCATCATACTTTTGCCTTCATATTATTTTTAATTTGCTTTTTGGTTTTTCGAATCGCTTTGCTTGTACCTCTTCTTTGTTCAAAGCTAAAGAATTTTTGTATGGTAGAAGGGACTCTCTTATCATGTATAATATCAACATCATACTTTTGCCCTTCATAATTTCTAACTTTTCGCATATTTCCTTCCATTGTAGTTACTGGGACCCAGCCTGTGACTGGCGAAATCAAAGGCACTCAATTCCAAAACGTACATCTGAAAAGGTGATTTTTCTAGAACGCATTTTGATAAGGGATTAGCATACCTCACTCAAAGATGTTTCTTCAGTAACCCATAGTGCGTGCGGTTGCACAACTCAGCCTTCGAGAACTTGGATCTGAAAATCGGAATCGATCAACATAAGTTTGTGCGCCTTTTTCATGCTACTTATATAGCAATTAATTTTGTGGCGTGAGGGGGTTATGTACTGCCGTACCTATGATTTTGAAAGATCTCTAGTAGTAGTAGTAGTAGTAGTTGATTGTAGTAGCACAAACTAATGCAGCGGTTGCTAATTTTGCAAACATTCTTCTTTCAGTCGGCGGAAAAGCAGCGTTTCCTGTGCGCTATTTGGCCGATACAGCAGCAATGGAAAACGCTCCCAGAACACCAGTGGATTTGAATGTGATTCTAAAGCAAATGGATACTCAGTACAGTGACCAGATGGAACCGGAGTTGCTGGAATTATGCCGCGAGTTTCGTGAAGCAAGAGAATTGATGGAGAAGAACATCAGTAGCCCCGACTTTGCTCTGCAAATGACGGAAGAAAACAAGGAAGAGTACATGATCGCGGACCGCTGTGTATCGCGTAACATGAAGAAAATAGTTCGACTTAAGTTTCGCCTGCGGAAGCCGAAGATTCTTCTCGCCACCGTTGCTTCCATACTGAACACAACAGCTTCTAAAGGGCTTCTCAAAATGCACGTTTATCCGTTCAAAGTATTGATTTGTGATGAAGCGTCGCAAATACCGGAATCGGCATTGGCAGCATTGGCTATGCGCTTGCCAGACCTTCGACACGCTTATATCGGAGATAAGCACCAACTGCAGCCGCACACGACATGCTCGCGTGATACAAATCCTGTCATATTCGGTGCAAAAAGTGTTATGAGCGTTCTTGAGAACGCGCGGGCCGTCCCGATTGCGTCCTTGTGCACCACCTTCAGATCGCATCCGGAACTCATCGAGCTACCAGACAGAATAGCCTACGACGGACAACTTAGAAGCACAATCCATCCAAGCCATCGTCGCATGCTGCTCGACGTGATGCGTTTCTCTTGTGAGCGAATTCCCTTCATGTTTATCAACTTTTCATCGACAGCGACGAGAGCCCAGAGCAAATCGCTCTACAACCCTGTAGAAGCAGATATATGCTGGAGAATCGTAAGCCGCCTGATAGCTAAAGGAATTCCGGCAAACTCCATTTGCATCGTGTCCTTTTATCGAGAGCAATATCGCCGTATGCGTGACGAAATAGGCCGACCAAATGTTGAGATCGCCACAGTTGATTCACTTCAAGGGAGAGAAAAAGATGTCATAATTTTGCACACAACGCGGACTGAAGTGGAAGACGTGGACACTGAATTTTTCGATGATTATCGGCGACTGAATGTGGCCGTAACGCGCTGTCGCCATGGTCAATTCATTCTCGGCAATGCGGAAAATTTGAGTACCATTCCCAGCTGGAGCAAGGTCGCTAACTGGGCCGATTCTATCTCTGCCATCATACCGTCCGAGCAATTAGACCGATACTTACCAGCACGTTCACGATTTTGATCATTATCATTATCAATTTATCCATGATCTATTTTTTGCCTATCTGCATTTATCAGGTAATTGATAGTCGTATATAACGCTAGTTTTATCTTTTAATTTTTTTTAGTTCGCGTGGAAAAATTTGCATAGAAATATATGTTTTCGTCTATTTTGTACATACATGGCATTATCACTAAGTTCGTGCGGCTGCTTGGATGATACAACAAAAATTGTTGGTAAGCTATCCGTCCTCAAATTTATGTCCGTATCCCAGTGTCCTTTATGTTTACAGCGACTGCAAAGTTGTTAAATTGTTTGAATCTGATTATGCACTGACCAGTTCACTTACTTCATCGTTACGACTGCGGCACACTATACTTTGTACTAATTTTCTGCCGTTTTATCACATTGAACAGTATATTGGTGAGTTGTATAGATGTTAGAACCGCCATTTATGTTTGTTTGAGATTTATCCATTATCTTTCAGCCGATGCCTACCCAAGGTAAGATGCGAATCCATTGTCTGGAAAATGTCGACAAAGGATTGCAGTATCTCAAAATCAGCATGTGGATTTGGAAAATCTCGGTAGTCATGACATTGTCGACGGAAATCCACGCCTCATTCTCTGTCTTATTTAGACCATTGTTTTTTCCAAGTTAGTTTTGGTTTTCCTCAGAATCTTTCATCTTTTTCATTGTCTATTTGTTCTGCTTTTCTATTTCAATTTTTTTTTACAGATCCAAGATATCACCTTTGAAGACGCCGATAACCACGAAACCCGCTTCGCTAAGGAAGCGTTACTACTTTGGTGCCAGATGAAAGCACTGGCTATCCGAATGTGAATGTTAGGAATTTCACAACAAAGTCAGTATATGTTGAAACTTTTCTTCCTTAGCAATTTCTGGATAGACAACACCTGCCTATATTCTTCGCTTGGATTTTCTCTCAAAAAAGATGTTTTCCTACTATAAATTTAGCTGGCGTAATGGCCCTGCTTTCAACGCCCTCGTGAGGGCAGACTCATTTAAGACATAAATAGAGTACGTTATCCAGAAGTTTGCAAGCCATTTGCAAACCAGAAAACTCCATAGATAAGGGCACAGAATGCAGGTTAAATAATGCAGCGTATAGAAGCTGCCTACATTTGCCTTGTCGATTTCATTGACATTCAGCGCTTCTATTTTCTCAACTAATGAGGCCTTTTTCATTTTTTTTTTCTTATGATTTTTTCTCAGGCATGGAACACTCTGGAAAAAGCCGAACATGAACGTGAACTAGCACTGAAGGAAGAGTTGATTCGTCAAGAGAAACTCAAACAGTTGGTTGCTCGATTCAACCGCAATTCTCATATGAGAGAAACATAGCTGACTGAGAATTAACGTCTTGTCAGCCAGAATAACTTCGGATCTAATCTTGCTAGTGTTGAGGTAAACAGTAGAGGTGAGTATTCCTCTTTCTTGAACCAAAGTAACTTCTACTTCAGGCTGCAAACAAGAAGCGCGAAGCTATCGAAACCGACATCTTTGCTTACGAAGAGCGTGTTCAGGCAGTTGTTGCTTTGCAGGTTCGTATCTCGTTTCTCCCTTCACTTATCTACGGCACCAATCTATGTTTGGTTTTGGTTAACCATGCTTCTTTTCTTGGAGACTCTGTCCAGTTTTGCAGATCTTACTCAATTCTTTGGAAGAGCTTGAAGCTGTGAACTTCTATGGAATCGAGGAGATCAACCGGAAAGAGAATCTGCTCAAGCTGTGGAATTACCTTTTCCAGGTGAACAAGGAAATCTGTCATAATGGGTGGGAGACATTCGATACGTAATTTACAGCTCCTTCTTGCTCATCGTGTTGTCTCGAACTTTCGATGGCTATTCAACGCATTTTCCATGGGATGCTTCTTACCCTTGATCTCATGGACGACATCAAGGTAAGAGAGAATAATCAGGTGTCTGTTGCCTCGTCGATAAAGTAAATTGGCTTCGAGAGAGTGCGAAAATCTTCTTCTTGGGTCACGCTCTATGTATAAGACTCATCTTGTCGGGGACATCTTCTTTCCAATGATCTTGGAGCTCATCCTGTGGATGTGAAAGACATGCTCCTGAAGCACGCCTCTGTGGAAGGGGGCGGTGCTGGTGAAAATTTGAAGCGCATTTTTCAGGACTTAGCGCATGAATTGGCAAGTGGGGTTTGGACCACAGGGTACTTGGGGGGGGGGTCTACTACCGAAACACACCAAAATTCGAGAAGGGTCCATTCTGCTGATCCACTGCAAGTTTTGCCAAGTGAATAATCGACTCGGATGCTTTGTAGCTTTCATCTGCCATTGTATTTAAAACCATATTCCTGTTGATGCTCCGTGCTTACAGAGATTGGAGTATTTGCTAAACTGGAGTTTACTCTGGACGATATTCAACGCAAGGTATGATTATGGATTTGTGAGAAAATTCTTTCTCGCTCCTGTCTCAAAATCTCATATTTGTTTTCCAGGAATAGCTCTGTTCGGTCACTTGTTTGAACTCCCCCCTGAAGTCCTCGAATTTGTTCCATGCACTCCGCTGAATAAAGGACCCAAACTCCACGTAAGTTTCTTGACTCATTGATTTGAATAACTGTATTTGCGATCCTCTCTGTTTCCAGCAACCACAGTCGTGCTAAACTGGTTAGGCCTAATCATGCGCTCATTTGAATACTAAACTCTATCATATGTACGGTTGCCGCACTACATTCAAACGTTCTCAAGCAATTTTGATGTTTTTGGGAATCTCCTGCTTTTGTCTTTTTTCAACGTGTTATAGCTGTTTGACATATGCCTCAGTTTGATATTTTGTTTTCAAATGTCTTTGTTTGCATTCATTGCCACTTTTGATCAGGTTGCTTACTTGCTCTATCGCATATCCTTTCCTCTTCTCTCCTTTTATTCCTAGTCATGATATTTTGTAGCTCATGACACTGAGTGCATATAACTGATGTAATCTCTGTTGTTATTTTACCTCATTCTTTGGTGTGCTGGCGACGGTTGCCTGTGGTGCATTAAGGACGAAAGCAATTGCCAGCCGCTAATGCATACGTACGGCGATGCGCTGTTCTTCCCTTGCTTGATCTCTGACTGCATATAAGAAGAATTACCTTCTTGGATAATCCTTCCTGTCCTGAGTTAATGCAGTTTGAAATTTTGCAGTTGAGCCTCAATTTATCCTGCTGATAATGGTGATGGTGATGTGCAACCGCACTGAAATACACCGAGTCTGAAAAAAAATTGAGGGGGAGAGAGATGGTGATCAAAAAACAAAGGTATGGTAATGAAACAGAACATAGTGCATATCAAAATTTCTCTTTAACATACGCAAAATACTCCATTATGAACCAAGCGTTCAAGAAATATGCACGCAAGGGCATAGTTGCCGGCAACTGTTGCCGAAATTGCCAGCCAATTGATACTATATGCAGTCAGAGGTCCAAGCAGAGGTCATGCTATTTCAACAAGAGAAGTATCTTACCAAAGACGAACCTCCAAGCACTTAAAACAGGCCGAACATATGCTTAAGAGGGATCAGGTAAGATCGAACCTGAGTGTTCTGGACTTTTCCAGGCTATTATTCCATTCCAGGACTTCATGACAATATGTATGCTATGATAAGATCCGCGCTGTTGGAATGTTCGGTGATCAGCTCTGCCAGGATGGTCATTACGCAGCTGGTAAGGTAAAATGCGAAATAATTCTCATTTGGATTTTGCATGAAGTTCCATATTTTGACATTCTGAAGTTTCATGGTAGTGCGTTATAAATCACTGCATTAGCTGTTTACAGATTCACAAGAAGGTGCGTAACACTGATGAACGTCTTGAGGCAAACCGCGAAAGGACGCAAGCTTTGCTTGCCAAATTGGAGGATGCACTCGCTTTGCAGCTTTAGGTGCAAGCTTTCTTATCTGATTGTGAAGAATTGAGATGGATCGAGGAGAAGATGATTCGCTTGAGACTTACAGGTCAGGATAATCATTATTTGAGTTTTTTTTTCCTCCTAGCTTTTTCTACAACTTTTCAATTACTTTTTTTTCTTATCATTGATATTTTCTAACTTAGCGATGCAAAGACCATAACATCCAAGTTTGTGCGACACCAGGCCTTTCAGAGTGAACTACAAACTCTTTTTTAGTAAGTTCAACTTTTGTTTGCTCGCTCTGTCCTTGCTTATACTGCTCGCACTAGGAACGACTAGACCAACTCCAACGCCGCGCCATTGATCTTGGAGCTGAGAAGCCAGAATTCGCTGGCACCATCGATCCTTAAATCACTGATTTAGCCCATCAATGGGAGGAACTCGAAAAGACCACCGAAGATCTGAGCGTAAGTTTCTTGACTGTCATTGATTTGAATCTCTGTATCTGCTATTCTTCTGTTTACAGCAACCACAAATTGTGCTAAACTGGTTAGGCCTAATCATGCGCTCATCTGAATACTAACTCGATTATATGTATGGCTGCCGCACTACATTCAAACGTTCTTTAGCAATTTTGCTGTTTTTGGGAATCTCTTCCTTTTGTCTTTTTTAACGTGTTGTAGCAGTTTGACATATGCCTCAGTTTGATATTTTGTTTTCAAATGTCTTTGCTTGCATTCATTGCCACTTTTGATCAGGTTGCTTACTTGCTCTACCTCATATCCTCTTTTCTCTTCTTTAATTACTAATCATGATATTTTGTAGCCCATGACAGTGAGTGCTTATAACTGATGTAATCTCGTTGTTATTTTACCTCATTTTTTGGTGTGCCGGCAACGGTTGCCTGTGGTGCATTAAGGACGAAAGCAATTGCCAGCCGCTTATGCATACGCACGGCAATGCGCTGTTCTTCTCACCAAGCGCAATTTCAGACTCAGTGAAATGAGTAGAGTTGAAATACATTCTATACTGAGTAGTTTTTGCTCGGGGCCAGATATAAGGGCAAATTGGCAATGCTACTGGCAGAAAAAGCTTGGTTCTTGAAATATTTGAAGTTTAGCCTTTGAAACCCTTTCTCACTAATTTGACTTATTTTTGCAACTCATTTCAATATTCATTTTGAGTTTAATTAGAGGTATGAAACAAGAAAATTCTGTAAACTTTCACCTACGGATGGTCAGAAATCGGGGTAAGAAACGCGCAGGTCATTCACACATGAGGTATCGTTCCTGTTGCTTGCCACCCCGGTTGCCGATGTTGCTGGGATGTTAGAGAGCGCTCAACACATAGAATGCACAACAGGTTTTACAACGACCGGCAATTTCGGCAACCGTTGCCGGCAATCTATGGCCGTTCTCTGACGCTCAAATTTTGTCATTCCATCTCATTTGGTAACATTCAACTGACTGCATAGATCTTTGAGCATATATCTTGGTTACTCACAATCAGATTTGCAGCATGCTTTGTATGCATATTTTTTATTGTTTTGTTCATAATGAAGTATTTTGCGTATGTTAAAGAGAAATTTTTATATGCACTATGTTCTGTTTCATCACCATACTTTTGCCTTTTGATCACCATCTCTCTCTCCCCTCAATTTTTTTTCAGACTCAGTGTATCTCATCGTCAGTGCGGTTGCACATCACCACTATCAGCATTATAAATTGAGGTTCAACTACAAAATTTCATACTGCACTAACTCAGGACAGAAAGGATTATCCAAGAAGGTAATTATTCTTATATGCAGTTAGGCGATCAGCACACATAGATAAAAGCTCTGTTTTCTTCAAGGTCAAAAAAACTTCTACTCAAATCTAGCATTTGCTCGTGCGGTTGCACTATGTAACCATCGACACACCTGTTTCTTTGAAGTCCATCGTAAGTTCTCTCATCATCATCATTGGTAACATCATCATACTTTTGCCTTCATATTATTTTTTAATTTGCTTTTCTGGTTTTTTGAGTTGATTTGCTTGTAACTCTTCTTTGTTCGAAGCAAAAGAATTTTTGTATGATAGAAGGGACTCTCTTATCCAATATCATCATCATACTGTTGCCTTTCATTGCGTCTCTCTCACTCTTCACATGTTATACTCTTTATTGTAGTTACTGGGACCCAGCCTGTGACTGGCCAAATCAAAGGCGCTCAGTTTCAGAACGTACCTTCTGAAAAGGTAATTCTTTAGTACGCATTATAATAAGCGATTAGCATACCCACTCAAAGATGTTTTTTCAGTAACCCATGCTGCGTGCGGTTGCACAACTCAGCCTTCGAAGACTTGGATTCGAAAGTAGGACTCGATCAACGTAAGCTTGTGTGCCTCTTTCAAGCTACTTATAGAAAGTAATTTTGTTAGGGGAGGGGGTTATGCCGTACCTATGATTTTGAAAGATCTCTAGTTGGCTTTTCTTACCTCAAAGGTCTATGCAGTTTGATCGGTGTAAGTAATTAGGAAACGGGGGGGGGGGTATTAGCGGGTGTAAGAAATTATAGGTAGCCGCCGCTACCTATAGTTCGAAGTTCATCCTTGGGTTCGAGGACCTGCCGTCTATGACTGGAGCAGAGTTTGACATGGTATAAGATCCTCCTGATATGTCTCAACCGTTGTGTGAAGTATGACGTGGCGTTTTGTAGCTGGCAAATATCATCTTCCCTCTAGTCGGAGCCGCCGCTCTCTGTCCATCTCCATTATGCACTGCATCCCTCGTCGGGTACTGGTATTGCATAAAGGAACTGCAAGCTGTAGAAGGTCTTACCACCGTGAATATCGAGTTCGTACAAACTGCTATGTGTCTTGTCAAGCAACTCTGGCATGAAATGTCAGACAGCATGTTTACGTTAAAAGCACATGTGGGTTTTTGGAGGTCTGCAAGGGATTGAGTAATTAGGCACTTCCAGAATCTATTTGACCATTGCGTTCTCGAAGAAGTTGAACTATACGGCAGTCCTTATGTATGGAGCGCAGCCCCATTCGAATCTATTCACCGCATTCTGCAAGTTCCGCATAATCAGTATGTATAGAACTCCAATGACAGAATTCTTAATAGGTACGAAGTGATTTCAATGGGTAAATTTTGAGTGTTAGTGAATATAATTTGTCCAAATGAAAAAGCTTGCGGTGCTCATGGAAGAAGCCTTTTTGAGAAACCATTCTGGAAGATTCGAAAGTTTATTAGGCGCTATGAAGAACGAAGCGAAAGGCGAGCGAAAATTGTCACCGTGTATAGGCAAAAATACCCTTTTATTTGTTTTGAGTGAATGTCTCGGTTGAGATTCCCCCTGAAGGTGCAACTGGCGGCCGGCTATTATGTACCCGACAACAGCGAAGTGGCCATAAACACTTTAACAGAAGACCATCGGATGATGTTCAACACCATAGAGGGATGAGCAGTGTTAAATTGTAGTGCGTGTTCTGCAAAAGCTTTGATTTGCAATAATAATTAGCGGATATGCAAAAGCCGTGTTTTTTAGTTCACGTGTTGTCGTAAATGGAAAGGTTTTTTGCTCGAATAGATACTGGCAGAGAGTGTGCGATACGGATACTTCTTCTTTTTGCATAAGAGCTACGGAAGATGGCGTTACACAGATCTACTCATACGGGAAACTAGTCTTGATTGGTTTTCATGAATGTACGCGAAGTTCATTTGCTCTTATCCAACATTACACAGCCTCAAATCCCTTTCTTGATCTTGTAGAAACTTTGCACTCCCGTCCGAACAGTGATACTGCTTCAAATCTCATGCACCTCATCTCCCAAAAAAATCTCATTCTCATGAATTGTCCTTCGCAGGCGTGAAGTGGATTAACGTTACAGATATAATTAGACCAGCTGTGTGTGTGGAAATGAGATCTCCTCCCATGCCTTTTCCTTTCCTGCCTTTATATTTCTCATGAAGTTTGTTTGCAGGCTAGGAAACGCAGTGCAGGCAAGCCGGTCTCTTGAAAACTGCCGAAGTATAGGAGAATGTCACAAGGTGAGCAATACCTTTTCAGATTATCGGGAATTTCTAATTTGAAGTTTGTGATTTTCAGATCAAGCAACGAGAACATTGCTGACGCTGCCACTTCGCAACCATCAACATCCAGACTAAAGTCTCCGCATACATACGCGGAATTACGCCCTTTTAGACTTCAAAATCTGGTGAATTTAATGTTTTTCAATCGAGGCTGAAGAAAATTGAAAAGAAAAGCGGGAAAAGGTTTAATTTATAGTTGATGTAAGTGATTCTGTAGGATTCATCGCAATACACGACAAGTTAGTTGAATTTTGCTTCAAGGTCATTGCTGTAGTTGGTGGTTTGAGCTCTTGAGGTAATCACTCCCAACAATCGCGAACAGCCGAGGGTCGGTGAACGCTTGACGAACACTTGCGATCCTATAGGTTAGTGAAACTGAGGCTAGGAATCGCTGTATGCAGCGGGTATAGAGTAGTATTCTTTTTAGAAGCTATTAAAGAATCCCTTGGGAAGCCTGTGGGAACTTCCGACTTCGCTTCAGCGCTGTATGCTTTTTTTTTCGAAGAAATCGTCGACGTTAAGTCGGGCTTCTGTAGAGACACCGTTACACCACTACTTTTTAAAAAGATCTCGGAACTTTCAGGAAATTTTACATCATTGCTCAAGCGCGGTAAAGTATTTTTCCGATCTCCGAGAACTTCCGAGACGTCATGCGCTCGGTGCAAAGCGCAGAAAGATCGCGCTTTGGCACACTTTTTGACCACGCTGAAACAATTCAGCTATCAAAGACCTTTCGAATGATTTACTTCTCATAGGCAAACTCTATTGCGACTTATATACCTTTCCTGTTTAGATTAGACTTTTTGAGTTACCCACTGTCACCTGTACAGGTTCTGGTTGGCCCTTGGCGACACCGAAGAGAATAGAGAAAAACATTTCAAACAACACTTAAGGGCGAAGACGACCTGGTATGACAATTGTAAAACTTGTATGACGCGATCCCTGTAAGTCAAGTTATATATTTGTCTCAAACCGTGGCTATCGCAGGATTTTCTTCCAAAAAGGGGAATTTTTTCTTAATCAAGGTGAAAAACATTCTTTCAAAAAGATTTTTGGAGTGCTTTTCGAAATTTCTGCGAGTACATTACCCCTAACTTAGAAATGGGGGGAGTCAGTTCCACATTTTTATAACATGTAATTAAATTTCAAAAATTACGCCCTCCCCCTTCGGTCCGCCACTGCTCCCAATTTATTGTTTTGATGACGTAATTTTGGCGTTTGTTTACAGAGAGGACATCCGTTCCTACCGCATGCACTGACTGTTGTCTTTTTTGAATTGATCCCTCCAGATGAAGGCTCTTTTTTTTTGCTTCTTCTCTAAAGTCGAAGATGGTTCCCATGGGTGTGGTGCAAGAGCAGCGATAACAATTGACAGCCGCTGTTTCCATCGCATAACGATGCACTATTTGCTTTACGAATCACGGATTTTAGGTTCATTGAAAATGAGCAGTGTTGTGATAAATTCTTTACTCTTGAATATTGCACGAAGGCCGATGATATATCTCCCATATATCTTGGTTACTCACAATCAGATTTGCAGCATGCTTTGTATGCATATTTTTTATTGTTTTGTTCATAATGAAGTATTTTGGGATTTAAAGAGAAATTTTATATGCACTATGTTATGTTTCATCACCATACTTTTGCCTTTTGATCACCATCTCTCTCTCCCCCTCAATTTTTTTTCAGACTCAGTGTATCTCATCGTCAGTGCGGTTGCACATCACCACTATCAGCAGTATAAATTAAGGTTCAACTACAACATTTCAAAGTGCATTAACTCAAGACAGACAGGATTATCCAAGAAGGTAATTATTCTTATATGCAGTTAGGCGATTAGCACACATAGATAAAAGCTCTGTTTTCTTCAAGGTCAAAAAAACTTCTACTCAAATCTAGCAATTGCTCGTGCTGTTGCACTATGTAACCATCGACACACCTGTTTCTTTGAAGTCCATCGTAAGTTCTCTCATCATCACCATTGGTAACATCATCATACTTTTGCCTTCATATTATTTTTTAATTTGCTTTTCTGGTTTTTTGAGTTGATTTGCTTGTAACTCTTCTTTGTTCGAAGCAAAAGAATTTTTGTATGATAGAAGGGACTCTCTTGTCATGTATAATATCAACATCATACTTTTGCCTTTCAAGATGTTTCTAACTTTTCGCATATTTCCTTCCATTGTAGTTACTAAGACCCAGCCTGTGACTGGCGAAATCAAAGGCACTCAATTCCACAAAGTACATCAAAAAAGGTTATTTTTCTAGAACGCATTTTGATAAGGGATTAGCATACCTCATTCGAAGATGTTTCTTCAGTAACCCATAGTGCGTGCGGTTGCACAACTCAGCCTTCGAGGACTTGGATTTGAAAATCGGAATCGATCAACATAAGTTTGTGCGCCTTTTTCAAGCTACTTATAGCAATTAATTTTGTGGCGGGAGGGGGTTATGTACTGCCGTACCTATGATTTTAAAAGATCTCTAATAGGCTTTTCTTGCCTCAAAGATCTATGCATTTGATCGGTGTAATTAGGAAAATTGTGTGATGTAGCCACCACCCCTATGCCTTTTTCGAGCTACTTATTAAGTGGTTTTATGTTGAGCTACTGTCGTAGCTGTGAAGGTGAACGTTGAGAAGGCTTCACTTGCCTGAAAGAGAAATGCATTTTGATTCATGTGAGGTAGCGCCATACTTGATCCGCTTAATTCGCTTCGTCATTGCCCAATCTGGGAAACTGACCAATAGTGAAGTGGATGAAGCGGATTAGGCGGATCAAGTTGACAACCGCTTATTGGTCACTTCATTGAATTGGCCAATGACGAAGCCGATCAAGCGGATTGAGTGGACCAAGCGGATATGTATGTATGACGCCTGCATAAGTCATAGGAGAAATTTGTTTGTGACTTCTTAACGTCTAGACGAGATGATCCACAGTATTGTGCTCCGCACTCAAATCATATGGGAAGAACCGTGTTATTCGTAGCTGTTTTAGAGTTTTCACAAAAGGGGTAGTGACACCTTCCATATGTGCATTCGATATCAAAACGATACGATTTGATGACATTATCAAAACGGAATTTTGATCCCACGTTTCATACTCCATACGGTCAGTTTCAGGAAGCCAGAGACTTTTGTGCGAGGACACGAGGTCTTCTTCTTATGGAGCCGAACGAGGGCGTCGTCCCAGTGCGAGTTTACCGACTCAACAAAGAAGAGCAAGACTGGTTGCGGGATCGTGCTGGCCGTTTTGAGAACTTTGCCGTGCATCCGAAGGACTCCAAGCATAGGATGACGAAACTTTTGAATGTAGCGAGCTCCGCTCTTGGGGCGAATGCTAGGCTAAACGAAGACCGTTCCTGCCATCGATTCGATGCAATCATTCCAAACAGCTCAGCATATCCAATGTGTCTCACCTTCAGGCTTTTCGAAATGACTAATGAAGCTGGTTGGACTAACATGAGAGCCGTTATCATTCAGGTAATTGGCACAGACTTCATCACTTACGCTCAGGTCCGTGCTGTGGAGTATCGAGAAGTCGAGCGGATGCTTATAATCACCATCTCTGCATTCCACTGGAGCCACAGGCGTTTGACACGTGCCGTTACCCAGCACGCCGTTGATGGACACGCTGAGATTTGCGTCAAATTGGGGCCGCAGTCTATGTCCTCCAACCCGATCTACGACATTATTTCACGTACCAGCGTCTTCGAACAGCTAAGCCCTGGGAGCCGCGGAGATGAGGCCATCGATGCTGGTTACGGACGTGGGAAGATGAGTTGTGCAAACAAGGACGACCCCGTCATGTACGATCCGGACGATGGTGAAGTTGAGTGTGTGGTAAATGGAAGGAGAGTCGAGTTCACTCTAGAACAACGTCGGGCTGTAGCACTTGGTCTAAGCCGTTATCCCTGGTTGGAATCCAGGCAGCTTTTGGGACAGGCAAAACTCTAATCGGCGCTTTGATAGCAGCTATATCGGCAAAGAGTGCACCTGTGATTGTAGTAGCACAAACTAATGCAGCGGTTGCTAATTTTGCAAACATTCTTCTTTCAGTCGGCGGAAGAGCAGCGTTTCCTGTGCGCTATTTGGCCGATTCAGCAGCGATGAAGAACGCTCCCACAACACCAGTGGATTTAAATGTGATTCTAAAGCAACTGGATACTCAGTACAGCGACCAGATGAACCCGGAGGAGCTGGAATTGTGCGAGTTTCGTGAGGGAAGGGAATTGATTGAGAGGGACATCAGTAGCCTGGATTTTGCACTGCAAATGACGGAAGAAGACAAGGAAGGGATCGTTCATACCGCGCATGAAGGCGGAAGAAGGCGGACGAAGCCGGACAAAGCCGGACGAAGGCGGACGAAGCCGCACAAAGGCGGACGAAGACGGACGAAGGCGCACGAAGGCATGTGTGAGTGTGTGTGTGTCGAGAGAAACGAGACGAGGCGTGTGTGAGTGTGTGTGTGTGGGTGTCGAGAGAAACGAGACGAGACAAGACGCGCCTTCGTCCGTTTTCGTCCGGCTTTGTCCGGCTTCGTCCGCCTTCGTCCGTTTTCGTCCGCCTTTGTCCGGCTTTGTCCGGCTTCGTCCGCCTTCGTCCGGCTTTGTGCGCGGTATGAACGATCCCGAAGAGTACATGATCGCGGACCGTTTTGTATCGCGTAACATGAAGAAAATGGTTCGACTTATGTTCCGCCTGCGGAAGCCGAAGATTCTTCTCGCCACCGTTGCTTCCATACCGAACACAACAGCTTCTAAAGGGCTTCTTAAAATGCACGTTTATCCATTCAAGGTGTTAATCTGCGATGAAGCGCCGCAAACACCGGAACCGGGTTTGGCAGCAATGGCAATGCGCTTGCCAGCCGTTGTCTAAGTCCGTATCCCTGTGTCCTTTATATTTACAGCGACTGCAAAGTTGTTAAATTGTTTGGGTCTGATTATGCACTGACCAGTTCACTTACTTCATCGTTACGACTGCGGCACACTATACTTTGCACTAATTTTCTGCCGTTTTATCACATTGAACAGTATATTAGTGAGTTGTATAGATGTTAGAACTGCCATTTATGTTCCTTTGAGATTTATTCATTATCTTTCAGCCTATGCCTACTCGAGGTAAGATGCGAATATTGTCTGGAAAATGTCGACAAAGGATTGCAGTTTCTCAAAGGTCAGCATGTGGATTTGGAAAATCTCGGTAGTCATGACATTGTCGACGGAAATCCACGCCTCACTCTCTGTCTTATCTGGACCATTATTCTTAGGTCCCAAGTTAGTTTTGGTTTTTCTCAGAATCTTTCGTCTTTTTCATTGTTTATTTGTTCTGCTTTTCTATTTCAATTTTTTTACAGAGCCAAGATATCACCTTTGAAGACGCCGATAACCACGAAACCCGTTCCGATAAGGAAGCGTTACTACTTTGGTGCCAGATGAAAACCGCTGGCTATCCGAATGTGAATGTTAGGAACTTCACAACAAGGTCAGTATATGTTGAAACTTTTCTTCCTCAGCAATTTCTGGATAGACAACACCTGCCTATATTCTTCGCTTGATTTTCTCTCAAAAAAGATGTTTTCCTACTATAAATTTAGCTGGCGTAATGGCCTTGCTTTCAACGCCCTCGTGAGGGCAGACTCATTGAAGACATAAATAGAGTACGTTATCCAGAAGTTTGCAAGCCATTTGCAAACCAGAAAAGTCCACAGATAAGGGCACAGAATGCACGTTAAATAATGCAGCATATAGAAGCTGCCTACGTTTGCCTTGTCGATTTCATTGACATTCAGCGCTTCTTTCTCAACTAATGAGGCCTTTTTTCAATTTTTTTCTTATGATTTTTTTTCTCAGACATGGAACACTTTGGAAAAGCCGAACATGAACGTGAACTAGCACTGAAGGAAGAGTGGATTTGTCAAGAGAAACTCGAACAGTTGGTTGCTCGATTTAACCGCAATTCTCATATAAGAGAAACATAGCTGACTGAGAACCAACGCCTTGTCAGCCAGAATAACTTCGGATCTGATCTTGCTAGTGTTGAGGTATACAGTACTAGTGAATATTCCTCTTTGTTGAACCAAAGTAACTTCTGCTTCAGGCTGCAACCAAGAAGCACGAAGCTATTGAAACCGACATCTTTGTTTACGAAGAGCGTGTTCAGGCAGTTGTTGCTTTGCAGGTTCGTATCTCGTTTCTCCCTTCACTTATCTACGGCACCAATCTATGTTTAGTTTTGGTTGACCATGCTTCTTTTCTTGGAGACTCTGTCCAGTTTTGCAGATTTTACTCAATTCTTTGGGAGAGCTTGAAGCTGAGAACTTCCATGGAATCGAGGAGATCAACCGGAAAGAGAATCTGCTCAAGCTGTGGAATTACCTCTTCCAGGTTAGTGAAGAAGTCATTTATAACCAGCGCTTCACCTCTGCTTCGCAGAGGTTCGCGCTGGCCATCATGAAAAGTATTGGTAAACTTACGTAATGATCTTGGCCTTCATCATTCTTTGATGGAGGAGACCGCAAAGTAATTACAAAAATGATCCTTGCTTGCTTTGCAACTCTCACATGCATTTAAGCAATGTAAATCATTCCTCACTGTAATTTCGTAACAGACAGACTTACAGACCGACAAATTAGCGGCTTATTACAAGTCATGATAATCGGGATTCATTTGATCTGTAATTTACAGCTTCTTCCTGCTCGTCGTGTTGTCTTGAACTTTCTATGGCTATCCAATGCATTTTCCATGACATGCTTCTTACCCTCGATCTCATGGACGACATCAAGGTAAGAAATCAAGTGTCTTTTGCCTCGTCAATAAAGTTAATTTGCTTCGACAGAGTGCGAAAATATTCTTCTCGGGTTACGTTTGATGTGTAAGATTCATCTTGTCAGGCGTTTTCTTTCCGGCGATCTTGGAGCTCATCTTATGGATGTGAAAGACATGCTCCAGAAGCACGCCCACTCTGTGGAAGGGGGCGGGGCTGGTGGAAATTTGAAGCGCATTTTTCAGGACTTAGCGCATGAATTGGCAAGTGGGGTTTGGACCACAGGGTACTTGGGGGGGGGGTCTACTACCGAAACACACCAAAATTCGAGAAGGGTCCATTCTGCTGATCCACTGCAAGTTTTGTCAAGTGAATAATCGACTCGGATGCTTTGTAGCTTTCATCTGCCATTGTATTTGAAACCATATTCCTGTTGATGCTCCGTGCTTACAGCTATTGGAATATTTGCTAAACTGTAGTTTAGTCTGGACAATACTCAACGCAAGGTATGATTTTGGATTTGTGGGAAAAATCTTTTCCGCTCCTGTTTCAGGTTCTCATATTTGTTTTCCAGAAGTAGCTTTGTTCGTAATCACTTATTTGACTTCCCCTCGAATCTTCGATTTTGTTCTATGCACGCCGCTGAATAAGGGACTCAAACTCTACGTAAGTTTCTTGACTGTCATTGATTTGAATCACTGTATCTGCTATTCTCTCTGTTTACAGCAACCACAAATTGTGCTAAACTGGTTAGGCCTGATCATGCGCTCATCTGAACACTAACTCTACCACATGTATGGCTGCCGCACTACATTCAAACGTTCTTTAGCAATTTTGCTGTTTTTGGGAATCTTTTGCTTTTGTCTTTTTTAACGAGTTGTAGCAGTTTGACATATGCCTCAGTTTAATATTTTGTTTTCAAGTGTCTTTGTTCACTTGCATTCATTGCCACTTTTGATCAGGTTGCTTAGTTGCTGTATCGCATATCCTTTCCTCTTCTCTCATTTTATTACTAATCATGGTATCTTGTAGCTCATGACACTGAGTGCTTACAACTAATGTAGTTTCTGTTGTTGTTTTACCTCATTTTTTGGTGTGCCGGCAACAGTTGCCTGTGGTGCATTAAGGACGAAAGCAATTGCCAGCCGCCAATGCATACGCACGGCAGTGCGCTGTTCTTCTCACCAAGCGCGAAATCCAGACTCAGTGAAATGAGTAGAGTTAAAATACATTCTATACTGAGTAATTTTTGCACGCAACCCGATGTGAGGGCAATTTGGTAATTCTACTGCGAAGAAAAACTTGGAATATTCGAAGTTTTACCTTTGAAACCTTATCTCACTATTTGCATATTTTTGCAGCTCATTTTTGTATTTTCAACTCTTCTGTGTAATTAAAAGGATGAAACGAGGAAATCCTGTAAATTTTCACCTACTGATGGCCAGCAATCAGGGAAAGAAACGCGCAGGTTATTGACACCCTCCGGGTATCGTTCCTGTTGCTTGCCACCCCGGTTGCCGAGTCGCTGGGAGGTTAGAGAGCACAGCACACGGAATGCACAGTGAGGTTTTACAACGACCGGCAATTTGACAACAGTTGCCGGCAACTATGTCTTTGTGTGCGTATTTTTTGAATGCTTAATTCATAATGAAGTACTTTGCATATGTTAAAGAGAAATTTTGATATGCACTATGTTCTGTTTCATTACATACCTTTGCCTTTTGATCATCATCTCTCTCCCCCTCAATTTTTTTTTCAGACTGTGTGTATCTCAGTGCGGTTGCACATCACCACTATCAGCAGGATAACCAAGGTCCAACTACAAAATTTCAAAGTGCATTAACTCAAGACAGAAAGGATTATCCAAGAAGGTAATTCTTCTAATATGCAGTTAGGCGATTAGCACACATAGATAAAAGCTCCATTTTCTTTAAGATCAAAATAAACGTCTACTCAAATCTAGCAATTGCTCGTGCGGTTGCACTATGTAACCATCGACACACCTGTTTCTTTGAAATCCATCGTTAGTTCTCTAATCATCATTATTGGCATCATCATCATATTTTTGCCTTCATATTATTTTTAATTTGCTTTTTTGGTTTTTCGAGTTGATTTGCTTGTACCTCTTCTTTGTTTAAAGCTAAAGAATTTTTGTATGGTAGAAGGGACTCTCTTGTCATGTATAATATCAACATCATACTTTTGCCTTTCAAGATGTTTCTAACTTTTCGCATATTTCCTTCCATTGTAGTTACTGGGACCCAGCCTGTGACTGGCGAAATCAAAGGCACTCAATTCCAAAAAGTACATCAAAAAAGGTTATTTTTCTAGAACGCATTTTGATAAGGGATTAGCATACCTCATTCGAAGATGTTTCTTCAGTAACCCATAGTGCGTGCGGTTGCACAACTCAGCCTTCGAGGACTTGGATTTGAAAATCGGAATCGATCAACATAAGTTTGTGCGCCTTTTTCAAGCTACTTATAGCAATTAATTTTGTGGCGGGAGGGGGTTATGTACTGCCGTACCTATGATTTTAAAAGATCTCTAATAGGCTTTTCTTGCCTCAAAGATCTATGCATTTGATCGGTGTAATTAGGAAAATTGTGTGATGTAGCCACCACCCCTATGCCTTTTTCGAGCTACTTATTAAGTGGTTTTATGTTGAGCTACTGTCGTAGCTGTGAAGGTGAACGTTGAGAAGGCTTCACTTGCCTGAAAGAGCAATGCAATTTGATTCATGCGAGGTACGCGCCATACTTGATCCGCTTAAAGGCAGTGTCCCGGCAGATTCGGGTCCTGGGGGATATACGTGTATGAAGTTCCTGGTCACCCCATCGACCTCCAAGCGCACTTTGGTTGGGTGATGTTCCCCCTGGGCCGAGAAAATGCCCCTTGAACCGGCGCGCGCAACCCCAAATGGCGCGCGCTTGGACGGCCTTCCCCGCCCGTTCGGCGCGGGACCCCACGAGCGCTCTCCCCCATGATGCATGCTATCCAAAGCAAGAATTACAGGCGGCAGGATCTTCGTCTGAGGCCTCCCCCAACTTTCCATTAAAAATCTCGTCCAAGCTGCTTTTCTGGAACTAGGAAAACGTCCCAAAATCGGCCTTTTCAGCCCGTTCAAAGCTCAAATTCGGATTCTACGTGGCGAAAAGGCCTAAAACATGCAAAAAGGTGGAGGTGCAAAATCTGCCGGGACACTGCCTTTAAGGCCTCGGACAGACTTCACGCGATTAGATCGTCGCGACTCAATCGCGGACATTTCCTTTCATTTTCATTTCACATTCAAACATTTCGGGCTGGAAAAGTATCACAAACGCAATGCAAGTTGATCGGCATGGAATGATGTTGTAACAGTTGTCTCTTCGCGAGTCAGTCGCGACGGTCAAATCGCGTGAAGTCTGTCCGGGGCCTAATTCGCTTCGTCATTGCTCAGTCTGGGAAACTGACCAATAGTGAAGTGGATGAAGCGGATTAAGCGGAAGTTGACAACTGCTTTGTGCATTCGATATCAAAACGATACGAGTTGATGACATTTTCAAGATGGAATTTTGGTCCCACGTTTTATACTCCATACGGTCAGTCTCAGGAGGCGAGAGACTTCTTGTGCGAGGAAATACGAGGTTTTCTTCCTATGGAGCTGAACGAGGGTGTCGTCCCGCTGAGGGTTTATCGGCTCAGCAGAGAAGGCTGGATGGACAAACGGTAGGCTCGTTATCGTTTACGTGGTAGGCGCAAACTACATCATTCACGTCCAGGTGCGTGCTGTGAACATCGAGAATTCGAACGGATGCTCGACATGAGTGACATTCAACATATTATAAGAACATCTCAACTGACAACATTATCTAACCAGGCCGAGACTATTCGTCCCTACTAGGGGTCGCCGTCACTCATAGCCTTCAAGTACCACATCAACGTAGACTTAAGACCTTATTATATAAGCCACGGTTCAGGAAAACTTACTACTAAAAGAATTTGCTGGGCTTCAGAATGAGGTGCGCTTGCACAAAGCCTGTAGAGCCCATGCGCTCACTGTTCCTGTACGGAATCAAGTACGGTGGACTCTGAGTTATGAGAATTTGGAAAAAGTATATGTTTTGGGTCACCGCAAGCCGTTCAAGGTATGAATGACGGGGTCATCTGCAAAAAGATTTTGACTGCCTTTTTTTGTAGAGTATGAATTTGAATTTGTTTTTGCACCATCACGTACAGGTAGCGAAAATAGCAAAGGATGCTTTCGATGAAATTACCTGCTTCTTACAATCGCTCTTTTCTCAGGTGAATTATCCAGTAATGAATGTTTTCAGTTTTCTATATGATTCCTAAATATGCGACCCCGACCCATCAGACATTTGGAAATATTTACATCGGACATTTAAGGGCTCAGTAGTAGAATTACCGGGGACAACCCTTCACCCACTGATTGGTGATCTTGTACATCCGAAAATTCTTTGCATTAGTCTTACTTTTTCAGATTTCATAGTGGAAGCAAGGGGGCTAGGTCAACAAGAGCTCAGCTGTTGTAGGCTTGAAGGTCTGAAGTGTTCTGATAACGCGTATGTGTTTGTGTAGATGTCTCCACGTCGGTCGTCATAAAAAGTTTTTTCTGAGCTTGGCCGATTGTGAAGAGGAGCGAGAACACGAAAAGTCTTTTGAAAGCCAAATGTGACTAGGCCCGAATATTGAAAGCGTGCATACCAAAAGCGCTGTGAGTGCCTTCACTTCTATGTTTGGTTTGTGCTTCCAGCATTAAATAATCTTTATTGTTAGAGAGAATGTTCGTAGCTATTTTGTGTGAAGGACGCTTAGTCCCTGCAGAGGTTCGTTTGCTCCCATTCTAATCATCACTGCGCAACATCGGTCGCGTTGTTACGGAATGGTGATGTATGGTTTACGATGCGATAATAAGAAAACAGTGGCACCTGAAGAGTGGAGACAACTGACACTGAGGGAGGCTGTGCCTCTGACGAAAACGGTGCACGCTGAAAAGTTGCTCCCTTTTAGCTCTTTTTCCCATACAAAAATTTTCTTGACATTTGCCTTTGATTTTATCGATCAATCTTTGTGAATATTTTTTCTCATGAGAAAGTATATCAAATAATGGTAATCTTCCCCTAATTTTGAACTGCTCGCTCATGCCTGACTTGAGCACCTGTCTCAATTCTTCATTGAAAGTTGTTACCTTGCCTTATATCGCCTGCATTATTGACTGTCCAGCAGAGGTATATATTTTGTTAAGAGTTGATTTGCTTTTACCTTTTCTTTGTTCAATGATAAAGAATTTATGTATGATAGAGGGAACTCTTTTATCATGTATAATATCATTATCGTACTTTTGCCTTTCATTGTGAGTCTCTCACTCTTCACATGTTATACTTTCCATTGTAGTTACTGGGACCCAACTAGTAACTAGCGTTCAATTCCAGAACGTACTTTCTGAAAAGGTAATTCTTTAGAACGCAATATAATAAGCAATCAGCATACCCACTCAAAGATGTTTTTTCGGTAACCCATACTGCGTGCGGTTGCACAACTCAGCCTTCGAGAACTTGGATTTGAAAATCGGACTCGATCAACGTAAGTTTCACCGCCTTTTTCAAGCTACTTATAGCAATTAATTTTGTGGGGGGGGGGGGGGGGGGGAGGGGTTATGTACCGCGGTACCTATGATTTTGAAAGATCTCTAGCAGGCTTTTCCTGCCTCAAAGATATATGCAGTTTGATCGGTGTAAGTAATTAGGAAAACTGTGTGAGGTAGCCACCATCTCGTTTCGCTTTGTCGGTGCGTTTGTAAATTAAAGGCAGCGTCCACCCAGAACTTGGCCCCCCATGTTTTCGTCATTCTGGGGCCTTTCCGTGGCCCTGATTACAGTTCTGAACTTCAAATTCGCCAAAATTCACAAAAAACCCGATTCCTGGGGACCCTTTCTTGAGGGCGTGAACGAGTTTCGAATCGCTAGTCACCGTCGGCAGGCCAGCGGGAAGGAGCTGCAACTGCATGGGTGCAGTTGCACTGCAGTGTGCAGTGTGCAGCTTCTGCTCACTACCTTGTCAATACGTGTCGGGAGTCACGTATTGACAAGGTAGTGAGCAGTCCCTGGCTGGGCGGAGTCTGATATCAGACCCCGCCCAGCCAGGGACTTTAAGGCCCCCTATCTCCTTTCAGAGACAACGTTAGAAGACCGGACCAACGCCGATGGCCCTTTTCTGGGGCCTACATTCAGGATCGACACCGATCGGAGGGGGTTAGGTTTAGCCTGGACTCTGCCTTTAAATAACGATATGTTCCGATTTGCAGTGAAAAACGACTGTAATCATTAGCGAAAAAAGCCTCAAACCATCTGTTTGCAAACCGCACATATAAGCACTTTGCATCTATAATAGGTTGCAGGTTCCACCAGTGATCAGCAATGGATGCAAGAGATGGTGGATTCCCAATCCCGGAAGGAGGTGTACGAAATGACCCTCGTCTCAGAGGAAGATTCATGCAGTATCGCAGGCCACGTGCATTCCCACCTATGCGTTTCGTTGCCAGGTCACCGTCACCACCGAGACCCTTGAACCCCAATCAGCTTCCACTAACTACCCCTAGGAACTACCGTAACCGTTATTCCGAACAGCACCCGTGGGCTATCTTCATCTGGCCGCGCTCTGTCGAATTCCTGCGAAGGCTACAGTTTGAGGTCGTCTTAAAACTCTCTCCGGAACAATATCGACCTTTGGGAAGCGCCGCTTACATGTCCAGGAAATTTGCACGATCGCTGTTTGCCAAGGCATTTCGACGGGATCGCATGAAGCCAATGCCTTTTATCGAACTGCAGCACATTGAAAATTCCATCGACTTTCGCAGACGGTCTGAGCAGATTCTGAGGCAAGTGTGCAGTGGCAATTACGATGATGAAGACAACGCGTACATGATGCGAGAACCGGACGGATCCCATGAGACTTCTCTAGTACCGTTAGAGTGGAACAATATCTATCCAGTTTTGTACCAGGTTGTCGCCACAGGGTGGGGTACCGGTGTTATACTGGAAGCGAAGGATTTTTTCATTTTTCAACCAGATCGAAAAGACCTGCATTGCATCGTTCTTGATCAGTTCGCTGTCAATATCAAAACCGGCTACCGCGGATTCGATAAAGGAATGGTTTCAGTCAGAGATTTCGTATGGGTGTATGAAGTGCGACCCACTCTGCAGGCTCTAGCCAATCCCGATGAGACACTGAAGAATTCAAGGTTGCCGCGAACAACTGCATTAACATCAATGTCGTCGCAGTTTTTCTTTCGTGTTGCCTATTTCGTATTTGTGACTCCCCAACAACTAGACGAGAAGATCTATGGTATCGTACTTCGCGTCCAAAAATTTGGAAAAAGGACCGTGTCATTCAAAGCCGTTTTTGAAGGCTTTCCGGAAGCGGTGCCTGTGACACCTTCGATATGTGCGTTCGATATCGAAACGGTACGATTTGATGAAATTCTTATAGCGGAATCTCGACCGTACGTTTCATGCGCCGTACGCTTTTCGGAGCCACCTGTGTCTCAAGAAGCGAGAGATTTTTTGTGCGAAGAAATACGAGATCTTCTTCCCATGGAGCCGTACCAGGGCGTCGTCCCACTGCAAGTTTACCGACTCAACAAAGAAGAGCAAGATTGGTTGCGGGATCGTGCTGGCCGTTTTGAGAACTTTGCCTTGCATCCGAAGGACTCCAAGCATAGGATGACGAAACTTTTGAATGTAGCGAGCTCCGCTCTTGGGGCGAATGCTAGGCTAAACGAAGACCGTTTCTGCCATCTAGTCGATGCAATCATTCCAAACAGCTCAGCATATCCAATGTGTCTCACCTTCAGGCTTTTCGAAATGACTAATGAAGCTGGATGGACTAACATGAGAGCCGTTATCATTCATGTAATTGGCGCAAACTTCATCACTTGCGCTCAGGTCCGTGCTGTAGAATATCGAGAAGACGAGCGGATGCTTATAATCACCATCTCTGCATTCCACTGGAACCACAGGCGTTTGACACGTGCCGTTACCCAGCACGCCGTTGATGGACACGTTGAGATTTGCGTCAAATTGGGGCCGCAGTCTACGTCCTCCAACCCGATCTACGACATTATTTCACGTACCAGCGTCTTCGAACAGCTAAGCCCTGGGAGCCGCGGAGATGAGGCCATCGATGCTGGTTACGGACGTGGGAAGATGAGTTGTGCAAACAAGGACGACCCCGTCATGTACGATCCGGACGATGGTGAAGTTGAGTGTGTGGTAAATGGAAGGAGAGTCGAGCTCACTCTAGAACAACGTCGGGCTGTAGCACTTGGTCTAAGCCGTTATCCACTGGTTGGAATCCAGGCAGCTTTTGGGACAGGCAAAACTCTAATCGGCGCTTTGATAGCAGCTACATCGGCAACGAGTGCACCTGTGATTGTAGTAGCGCAAACTAATGCAGCGGTTGCTCACTTCACAAACATTCTTCTTTCAATCGGCGGAAAAGCAGCGTTTCCTGTGCGCTATTTGGCCGATACAGCAGCAATGGAAAACGCTCCCAGAACACCAGTGGATTTGAATGTGATTCTAAAGCAAATGGATACTCAGTACAGTGACCAGATGGAACCGGAGTTGCTGGAATTATGCCGCGAGTTTCGTGAAGCAAGAGAATTGATGGAGAAGAACATCAATAGCCCCGACTTTGCTCTGCAAATGACGGAAGAAAACAAGGAAGAGTACATGATCGCGGACCGCTTTGTATCGCGTAACATGAAGAAAATAGTTCGACTTATGTTTCGCCTGCGGAAGCCGAAGATTCTTCTCGCCACCGTTGCTTCCATACTGAACACAACAGCTTCTAAAGGGCTTCTTAAAATGCACGTTTATCCGTTCAAAGTATTGATTTGTGATGAAGCGTCGCAAATACCGGAATCGGCATTGGCAGCATTGGCTATGCGCTTGCCAGACGTTCGACACGTTTATATCGGAGATAAGCACCAACTGCAGCCGCACACGACATGCTCGCGTGATACAAATCCTGTCATTTTCGGTGCAAAAAGTGTTATGAGCGTTCTTGAGAACGCGCGGGCCGTCCCGATTGCGTCCTTGTGCACCACCTTCAGATCGCATCCGGAACTCATCGAGCTACCAGACAGAATAGCCTACGACGGACAACTTAGAAGCACAATCCATCCAAGCCATCGTCGCATGCTGCTCGACGTGATGCGTTTCCCTTGTGAGCGAATTCCCTTCATGTTTATCAACTTTTCATCGACAGCGACGAGAGCCCAGAGCAAATCGCTCTACAACCCTGTAGAAGCAGATATATGCTGGAGAATCGTAAGCCGCCTGATAGCTAAAGGAATTCCGGCAAACTCCATTTGCATTGTGTCCTTTTATCGAGAGCAATATCGCCGTATGCGTGACGAAATAGGCCGACCAAATGTTGAGATCGCCACAGTTGATTCACTTCAAGGGAGAGAAAAAGATGTCATAATTTTGCTCACAACGCGGACTGAAGTGGAAGACGTGGACACTGAATTTTTCGATGATTATCGGCGACTGAATGTGGCCGTAACGCGCTGTCGCCATGGTCAATTCATTCTCGGCAATGCGGAAAATTTGAGTACCATTCCCAGCTGGAGCAAGGTCGTTAACTGGGCCGATTCTATCTCTGCCATCATACCGTCCGAGCAATTAGACCGATACTTACCAGCACGTTCACGATTTTGATCATTATCATTATCAATTTATCCATGATCTATTTTTTGCCTATCTGCATTTATCAGGTAATTGATAGTCGTATATAACGCTAGTTTTATCTTTTAATTTTTTTTTTAGTTCGCGTAGAAAAAATTTGCATAGAAATATATGTTTTCGTCTATTTTGTACATACATGGTATTATCACTAAGTTCGTGCGGCTGCTTGGATGATACAACAAAAATTGTTGGTAAGCTATCCGTCCTCAAATTTATGTCCGTATCCCAGTGTCCTTTATGTTTACAGCGACTGCAAAGTTGTTAAATTGTTTGAATCTGATTATGCACTGACCAGTTCACTTACTTCATCGTTACGACTGCGGCACACTATACTTTGCACTAATTTTCTGCCGTTTTATCACATTGAACAGTATATTGGTGAGTTGTATAGATGTTAGAACCGCCATTTATGTTTGTTTGAGATTTATCCATTATCTTTCAGCCGATGCCTACCCGAGGTAAGATGCGAATCCATTGTCTGGAAAATGTCGACAAAGGATTGCAGTTTCTCAAAATCAGCATGTGGATTTGGAAAATCTCGGTAGTCATGACATTGTCGACGGAAATCCACGCCTCATTCTCTGTCTTTTTGGGCCATTATTTTTTCCAAGTTAGTTTTGGTTTTCCTCAGAATCTTTCATCTTTTTCATTGTCTATTTGTTCTGCTTTTCTATTTCAATTTTTTTTTACAGATCCAAGATATCACCTTTGAAGACGCCGATAACCACGAAACCCGTTTCGCTAAGGAAGCGTTACTACTTTGGTGCCAGATGAAAGCACTGGCTATCCGAATGTGAATGTTAGGAATTTCACAACAAGGTCAGTATATGTTGAAACTTTTCAATTTCTGGATAGACAACACCTACCTATATTCTTCGCTTGGATTTTCTCTCAAAAAAGGATGTTTTCCTACTATAAATTTAGCTGACGTGATGGCCTTGCTTTCAACGCCCTTAACGACAACCATCGTCCGGATCTCATAGACTATGATAATCTGCAAAAGTCGAAGCTATCTACAATCTTCAAAATGCTTTTGATACTGCTGAACAACAGCTTGAATTGCCGAAATTCCTGGACGCGGAAGGTTTGATAACAATAGCTTAGGCTAAAGCATTTCAAAGATTCTGGTAGAGAATAAATTTGAAATGCAGATGTCAACGTACGCGATCCCGATGAAAAATCCATCATTACCTATTTGGTCGCCTTCTATCACTACTTCAACAAGTTGAAGCAAGAGACTATCCAGGGAAAATGTATTGAAAAGGTGTGGTACAGTCGATGTCAATTACGAACTCCCTTTCGCATGGGATGTACGCATGCGCAACGCAAAGGCCCTGCGCGCGGACAAGGCAACATTGAACGGTATATTGGTGCGTTGTATAGATGTTAGAACCCCCATTTATTCTTTGAGATTTATACATTATCTTTCAGCCGAAGCCTACCCGCGGTAAGATGCGAATCCACTGGAAAATGTCGACAAAGGATTGCAGTTTCTCAAAGGTCAGCATGTGGATTTGGAAAATCTCGGTAGTCATGACATTGTCGACGGAAATCCACGCCTCATTCTCGGTCTTATTTGGACTGTTATCCTTAGGCTCCAAGTTAGTTTTGGTTTCCCTCGGAATCTTTCATCTTTTTCATTGTCTATTTGTTCTGCTTTTCTATTTCAGTTTTTTTACAGATCCAAGATATCACCTTTGAAGACGCCGATAACCTCGAAACCCGTTTCGCTAAGGAAGCGTTACTACTTTGGTGCCAGATGAAAGCACTGGCTATCCGAATGTGAATGTTAGGAATTTCACAACAAGGTCAGTATATGTTGAAACTTTTCTTCCTCAGCAATTTCTGGATAGACAACACCTACCTATATTCTTCGCTTGGATTTTCTCTCAAAAAAGAATGTTTTCCTACTATAAATTTAGCTGACGTGATGGCCCCTTGCTTTCAACGCCCTTAACGACAACCATCGTCCGGATCTCATAGACTATGATAATCTGCAAAAGTCGAAGCTATCTACAATCTTCAAAATGCTTTTGATACTGCTGAACAACAGCTTGAATTGCCGAAATTCCTGGACGCGGAAGGTTTGATAACAATAGCTTAGGCTAAAGCATTCCAAAGATTCTGGTAGAGAATAAATTTGAAATGCAGATGTCAACGTACGCGATCCCGATGAAAAATCCATCATTTCCTATTTGGTCGCCTACTATCACTACTTCAACAAGTTGAAGCAAGAGACTATCCAGGGAAAATGTATTGAAAAGGTGTGGTACAGTCGATGCCAATTACGAACTCCCTTTCGCATGGGATGTACGCATGCGCAACGCAAAGGCCCTGCGCGCGGACCTCCAATCGATAAGGCCCGTTTGAATGCCTGAGCCATACGCGCGCGAACGTGGCACGAAGCTCACCGCGCATACGGAAAGGGGAGCTCGTGATTAACACGGACTTTAGTTTCTTGATGTGGTGTGGCGTACTGTAACTGTGCTTTAGGTCATCAAAGAGTTGATGGAGAACGAGAAAATGATCAACAAATATGAGACAATCTCCTCCGATCTTCTTGAATGGATCAAAGAAAAGATTGAGAACCTCAACGACAGGTACGCATTTTTACGTTTCACTGGTTTTTACAGTTGTCTTGCTGATTTTAACAATCCTTTCTAGGACATTTGCCAACTCTCTACAGGGAGTGCAGCATTAATTTGCTGAGTTCATTGAGTATCGCACTCAAGGGAAACCTCCAAAGTGAGTGTTTTGTTATTTTTTGCATTTTCTTGAAAATTTTTTAGTTTACTGAACAGTTATTTTGTATTATGAATGGAGCTTTTGCATATAGGTTCGAAGAAAAAGGCAAGCTTGAAGTGCTTCTGTTCACTCTGCAATCAGCAATGCGAGCCAACTCAGCGTCTATTTCCTCGTGAGGGCAAACTCATTGAAGACATAAATAGAGTACGTTATCCAGAAGTTTGCAAGCTATTTGCAAACCAGAAAAGTCCATAGATAAGGGCACAGAATGCACGTTGAAAAATGCAGCATATAGAAGCTGCCTACATTTGCCTTGCCGATTTCATTGACATTCAGCGCTTCTATTTTCTCAATTAATGAGGCCTTTATATATTTTTTTTCTTATGATTTCCTTCTCAGGCATGGAACACTTTGCAAAAGGCCGAACATGAACGTGAACTGGCGGTGAAGGAAGAGTTGATTCGTCAAGAGAAACTCGAACAGTTGGTTGCTCGATTCAACCGCAGTTCTGATATGAGAGAAACATAGCTGACTAAGAACCAACGTCTTGTCAGCCAGGATAACTTCGGATCTAATCTTGCTAGTGAGGTAAACAGTACAAGTGAGTATTCCTCTTTCTTGAACCAAAGTAACTTCTGCTTCAGGCTGCAAACAAGAAGCACGAAGCTATTGAAACCGACATCTTTGTTTACGAAGAGCGTGTTCAGGCAGTTGTTGCTTTGCAGGTTCGTATCTCGTTTCTCCCTTCACTTATCTACGGCACCAATCTATGTTTGGTTTTGGTTAACCATGCTTCTTTTCTTGGAGACTCTGTCCAGTTTTGCAGATCTTACTCAATTCTTTGGAAGAGCTTGAAGCTTGAAGCTTCCATGGAATCGAGGAGATCAACCGGAAAGAGAATCTGCTCAAGCTGTGGAATTACCTCTTCCAGGTTGGTCTTAGTGGAGGAGTCATTTATAATAGTTGGGATTCATTTGATCTGTAATTTACAGCTTCTTCTTGCTTGTCGTGTTGTCTTGAACTTCCTATGGCTATCCAACGCATTTTCCACGACGTGCTTCTTACCCTCGATCTCATGGACGATCAAGGCAAGAAATCAACTGTTTTTGCCTCGTCGATAAAGTTAATTTGCTTTGACAGAGTGCGAAAATATATTCTTCTCGGGTTACGTTCTGTGTGTAAGATTCATCTTGTCAGGCGTTTTCTTTGACGATCTCGGAGCTCATCTTATGGATGTGGAAGACAATGCTCCAGAAGCACGCCCTTCTAGAATCCGCCATCAACATCATTGGTGAACGAGTGCGAAATGCTGTGGGGCAGGCTCTGCGGTATGTGTTCATACTGCGATATCTCATCCTTGCCGATTTATTATATTTTTTTGTTTTATGCTCGCGTTTTCTTTTATTTGGGCGTTGGCGGAATGCAGCATCATTCTGTCTTCACGTTAGTGTAGCATTTTTCGAGAACAGCCTCCCAGCACTCATTTCTAACAGTGTATGCACTGAGATCATTTGCAGCTTCTGCGATCCGGAAGGGTCAGATGGAAGCGGGTATCTTTTTGTTGAACCAGCTGTTGTCGATGAGCGTTCGTCAATTCTGCAGCAAAGGTGGCTGTTCTTTGCTTTTGATACGAATTCATGTAAACTTCTCTTTTTCCCATTGCTTTGTTAATAATATTTTGTGCAAAATATTATGGAGCTGCTTGTTGCATAGTTTTTGGCGCTTTTCAGAAATCATGCCAAATAATGAGCAGCGCAGGTGATAACCCTCACTAATTGAAATTTTGAAGGTACCAAGAGCTCCTTGATTTGGCTGCACGCAAACGTCGTCTTGAAGACAACCGCAGGTTGTGCCAGTTCTGGTGGGATGTGGCTGATCTAGATAAAAACATCGATTAAGAACAAGTAGACAATTGGTTATCTATGTAAAATTGAAATGGACAACAAAACAAAATTATCTACTTTCAGGTACTCAGCTCAACTGACACCAACGCTTGGATACAATTTTGGTGATATCGAGCGTCAGTTGGAAGCGTTGCAAAAAAATGGAGATTAACTGGTGTCTGAAAATATTCCTGGTAAGTGCATCAAGCTGTGAAAGTAATTTCGTTGATAACTAACTAAGTTTTTCATGTCACAGGATCGGATAACATTCGATTTCGCATTCAAGAAATCCGCGATTACCTGAAGAAATTGCGTGATCTTGCCTCTGCCAGGCATGAGCGTCTCAACGGAGGTGTCACTACTACCAGGTTAGATTTAGGATGTTTTCGAGATCTTTTCATTTTCCGTAGTGTACGTGCGTGCATGTTTTTGCAATGTTCGTTAGATTATACGCAGTTTTTTTTTAGTTCTTCACCCATGTTGATGATGTCGACGCTTACTTGCTTGATACACTTCATGTTGTTTCAAGCGACGATGTCGGCAAAGATGACGGCACAGTGCAACTTCTCCTAGCAAAGCACGATGATGTCTCCGACGAGCTGCAAACGTTTGACACCCACGTCAAGCAGCTGTAGGCAAAGGCTGAAGCTGAAGGCTGAAGCTCCCACCTGATGTAAGTATTTTCTCGTTTTTTTCTTTCATAGATATTGTTAGCAGAATGCTACAATGCCACTGCTACGCTGTCAGATACCATGAATTTCTGTTTTCTCTAATTTTGTGGAGCAGTCAGTGTAGTATCAGTCTTCTTCCAGGCTCGTGAGTATCCGGATATCCGCGAGCCTTTGGACTCGACCATCTAATGTAAGGCCGAACTTGAGAACCTAGCTAAACTCCGAAAGCAACGTCTTGTTGACGCCTTGTCGCTCTACAAAATCTGTGCCGATGCTGACTCGGTCGAAGCCTGGATTGATGAGAAGTTAAGGTCAAAAATCGGTTTCCATTGAGAAATTTGCTAATATTCAATCTTTAGGGAACTGTTGGCTACTCTTATTCCTGAAAAAGACCTCGAGGGAGTTGAAATCATGAAACATCGCTTCGAAACACTCGAACAAGGCATGGAGAATTAGGAGACTAAGGTTTGCAAAGATTAGAGCGAATTTTTGTGATTTCCTCGTTATTGCTTCTGTTTTCAGGTTGACACTGCCAACAAACTTGCACGTCAGCTGCTCCATGTCGAACATCCAAACTCAGACAACATCCTTCAATGACAGAACAAACTCAACGCTCGTTGGGCACAACTGGTGATGGTTGACCAAAAGAGAGCTGAGCTTGACCGTGCTCACCGTCTTGAGACCTTTAGGTATGATTCCACCATTCTTCTGTTTACTTTGTTCACACAACCTTCGTTCGTAGAATCGACTGTCAAGAAACTGCCACCTGGATCGAGTGATGCTCTTTGATCTCAGTGGAGTTATGAAACTCAAAGGAGGTGAGTATAAATTTTGTATACTATTCTGATTATTTCATATTTAGGCTTTCAATGATGGAACGCGATCTCGGCGCCATCCAGGCTAAGCTGGATCCTCTCCATAGGGAAGCAGATTCGACTGAACGTGAGCGTCCACAGGAAGCTCAAGTAAATTGAGAGGATCAAGCGAATCCATTATGTATGGTCAACATTTTCGCTTCAAGTGTGACTAAATAATCGTCTGTCTGGGACTTCCTGAAGAAGAAAGTACGCGAGCCTGAGGGAATTGGACAAGGCTGGCGATTTGCAGAGCTTCCTTCGCCATCTGGATCACTTACAAGTCTGGCTTACTGCCACACAGCGGCAGGTTGGTGCAAACCTTGATCGCACTTCTTTGCCTTGCGATATAATTGAGTGCGCCACGACTGTGACGTAACAGAAGCTCTAGAAAGATTTTTTTCATTAGAGGTTTTGCACAGTGTGAGAGTATGTTTGCTGTTAACAAAAACGTGCATCACTGTGCGTAATTCTTTAAGATGACCTGAAAACCGTCCAAACTGTCACTTATGAATTGCCCAGATATTGGACTAGCACATGCGTTTTATCGGAAGGGAGAAGTTGCAAGATCTGAGTTGTCTACTCCTCTATAAAATCCCGTTGTAGGTTGCTTCCGAAGACGAGCCCCAATCTTTGGCTGAGGCTGAGCAGCTTCTCAACCAACATGCAGCTATTCGTGAAGAGATTGACGGTTATACTGAGGATTACAAGAAAATGCGAGCCATGGGAGATGCCACTCAAGATCAGACTGATCCACAGTATGTTAGACTCGCTCATATTAAACTTCATGTAAAGAAAACTATGAAAAAGGTTGTCATCAATGTGCAAGGTTCTGAGGGTCATTTCATTTTAGGCGCAAGTTCCTCCAACAGTGTTTGGCTGGTCTTCAAGAAGGCTGGGAAGAGCTGCAGCGAATGTGAGACAACCATCAGCAACTCAGCCAGGGACTCAACCTACAGGTTCGTAGCTTATACCTCTAATCGTGTTCTAATCGGATGTTCTCAAGATGTTCCTTCGCGATACAAAACAAGCAGAGGTCATGCTATTTCAACAAGAGAAGTATCTTACCAAAGACGAACCTCCAAGCACTTAAAACAGGCCGAACATATGCTTAAGAGGGATCAGGTAAGATCGAACCTGAGTGTTCTGGACTTTTCCAGGCTATTATTCCATTCCAGGACTTCATGACAATATGTATGCTATGATAAGATCCGCGCTGTTGGAATGTTCGGTGATCAGCTCTGCCAGGATGGTCATTACGCAGCTGGTAAGGTAAAATGCGAAATAATTCTCATTTGGATTTTGCATGAAGTTCCATATTTTGACATTCTGAAGTTTCATGGTAGTGCGTTATAAATCACTGCATTAGCTGTTTACAGATTCACAAGAAGGTGCGTAACACTGATGAACGTCTTGAGGCAAACCGCGAAAGGACGCAAGCTTTGCTTGCCAAATTGGAGGATGCACTCGCTTTGCAGCTTTAGGTGCAAGCTTTCTTATCTGATTGTGAAGAATTGAGATGGATCGAGGAGAAGATGATTCGCTTGAGACTTACAGGTCAGGATAATCATTATTTGAGTTTTTTTTCCTCCTAGCTTTTTCTACAACTTTTCAATTACTTTTTTTTCTTATCATTGATATTTTCTAACTTAGCGATGCAAAGACCATAACATCCAAGTTTGTGCGACACCAGGCCTTTCAGAGTGAACTACAAACTCTTTTTTAGTAAGTTCAACTTTTGTTTGCTCGCTCTGTCCTTGCTTATACTGCTCGCACTAGGAACGACTAGACCAACTCCAACGCCGCGCCATTGATCTTGGAGCTGAGAAGCCAGAATTCGCTGGCACCATCGATCCTTAAATCACTGATTTAGCCCATCAATGGGAGGAACTCGAAAAGACCACCGAAGATCTGAGCGTAAGTTTCTTGACTGTCATTGATTTGAATCTCTGTATCTGCTATTCTTCTGTTTACAGCAACCACAAATTGTGCTAAACTGGTTAGGCCTAATCATGCGCTCATCTGAATACTAACTCGATTATATGTATGGCTGCCGCACTACATTCAAACGTTCTTTAGCAATTTTGCTGTTTTTGGGAATCTCTTCCTTTTGTCTTTTTTAACGTGTTGTAGCAGTTTGACATATGCCTCAGTTTGATATTTTGTTTTCAAATGTCTTTGCTTGCATTCATTGCCACTTTTGATCAGGTTGCTTACTTGCTCTACCTCATATCCTCTTTTCTCTTCTTTAATTACTAATCATGATATTTTGTAGCCCATGACAGTGAGTGCTTATAACTGATGTAATCTCGTTGTTATTTTACCTCATTTTTTGGTGTGCCGGCAACGGTTGCCTGTGGTGCATTAAGGACGAAAGCAATTGCCAGCCGCTTATGCATACGCACGGCAATGCGCTGTTCTTCTCACCAAGCGCAATTTCAGACTCAGTGAAATGAGTAGAGTTGAAATACATTCTATACTGAGTAGTTTTTGCTCGGGGCCAGATATAAGGGCAAATTGGCAATGCTACTGGCAGAAAAAGCTTGGTTCTTGAAATATTTGAAGTTTAGCCTTTGAAACCCTTTCTCACTAATTTGACTTATTTTTGCAACTCATTTCAATATTCATTTTGAGTTTAATTAGAGGTATGAAACAAGAAAATTCTGTAAACTTTCACCTACGGATGGTCAGAAATCGGGGTAAGAAACGCGCAGGTCATTCACACATGAGGTATCGTTCCTGTTGCTTGCCACCCCGGTTGCCGATGTTGCTGGGATGTTAGAGAGCGCTCAACACATAGAATGCACAACAGGTTTTACAACGACCGGCAATTTCGGCAACCGTTGCCGGCAATCTATGGCCGTTCTCTGACGCTCAAATTTTGTCATTCCATCTCATTTGGTAACATTCAACTGACTGCATAGATCTTTGAGCATATATCTTGGTTACTCACAATCAGATTTGCAGCATGCTTTGTATGCATATTTTTTATTGTTTTGTTCATAATGAAGTATTTTGCGTATGTTAAAGAGAAATTTTTATATGCACTATGTTCTGTTTCATCACCATACTTTTGCCTTTTGATCACCATCTCTCTCTCCCCCTCAATTTTTTTTCAGACTCAGTGTATCTCATCGTCAGTGCGGTTGCACATCACCACTATCAGCATTATAAATTGAGGTTCAACTACAAAATTTCATACTGCACTAACTCAGGACAGAAAGGATTATCCAAGAAGGTAATTATTCTTATATGCAGTTAGGCGATCAGCACACATAGATAAAAGCTCTGTTTTCTTCAAGGTCAAAAAAACTTCTACTCAAATCTAGCATTTGCTCGTGCGGTTGCACTATGTAACCATCGACACACCTGTTTCTTTGAAGTCCATCGTAAGTTCTCTCATCATCATCATTGGTAACATCATCATACTTTTGCCTTCATATTATTTTTTAATTTGCTTTTCTGGTTTTTTGAGTTGATTTGCTTGTAACTCTTCTTTGTTCGAAGCAAAAGAATTTTTGTATGATAGAAGGGACTCTCTTATCCAATATCATCATCATACTGTTGCCTTTCATTGCGTCTCTCTCACTCTTCACATGTTATACTCTTTATTGTAGTTACTGGGACCCAGCCTGTGACTGGCCAAATCAAAGGCGCTCAGTTTCAGAACGTACCTTCTGAAAAGGTAATTCTTTAGTACGCATTATAATAAGCGATTAGCATACCCACTCAAAGATGTTTTTTCAGTAACCCATGCTGCGTGCGGTTGCACAACTCAGCCTTCGAAGACTTGGATTCGAAAGTAGGACTCGATCAACGTAAGCTTGTGTGCCTCTTTCAAGCTACTTATAGAAAGTAATTTTGTTAGGGGAGGGGGTTATATGCCGTACCTATGATTTTGAAAGATCTCTAGTTGGCTTTTCTTACCTCAAAGGTCTTTGCAGTTTGATCGGTGTAAGTAATTAGGAAACGGGGGGGGGGTATTAGCGGGTGTAAGAAATTATAGGTACCTATAGTTCGAAGTTCATCCTTGGGTTCGAGGACCTGCCGTCTATGACTGGAGCAGAGTTTGACATGGTATAAGATCCTCCTGATATGTCTCAACCGTTGTGTGAAGTATGACGTGGCGTTTTGTAGCTGGCAAATATCATCTTCCCTCTAGTCGGAGCCGCCGCTCTCTGTCCATCTCCATTATGCACTGCATCCCTCGTCGGGTACTGGTATTGCATAAAGGAACTGCAAGCTGTAGAAGGTCTTACCACCGTGAATATCGAGTTCGTACAAACTGCTATGTGTCTTGTCAAGCAACTCTGGCATGAAATGTCAGACAGCATGTTTACGTTAAAAGCGCATGTGGGTTTTTGGAGGTCTGCAAGGGATTGAGAAATTAGGCACTTCCAGAATCTATTTGACCATTGCGTTCTCGAAGAAGTTGAACTATACGGCAGTCCTTATGTATGGAGCGCAGCCCCATTCGAATCTATTCACCGCATTCTGCAAGTTCCGCATAATCAGTATGTATCGAACTCCAATGACAGAATTCTTAATAGGTACGAAGTGATTTCAATGGGTAAATTTTGAGTGTGTCCAAATGAAGAAGCTTGCGGTGCTCATGGAAGAAGCCTTTTTGAGAAACCATTCTGGAAGATTCGAAAGTTTATTAGGCGCTATGAAGAACGAAGCGAAAGGCGAGCGAAAATTGTCACCGTGTATAGGCAAAAATACCCTTTTATTTGTTTTGAGTGAATGTCTCGGTTGAGATTCCCCCTGAAGGTGCAACTGGCGGCCGGCTATTATGTACCCGACAACAGCGAAGTGGCCATAAACACTTTAACAGAAGACCATCGGATGATGTTCAACACCATAGAGGGATGAGCAGTGTTAAATTGTAGTGCGTGTTCTGCAAAAGCTTTGATTTGCAATAATAATGAGCGGATATGCAAAAGCCGTGTTTTTTAGTTCACGTGTTGTCGTAAATGGAAAGGTTTTTTGCTCGAATAGATTCTGGCAGAGAGTGTGCGATACGGATACTTCTTCTTTTTGCATAAGAGCTACGGAAGATGGCGTTACACAGATCTACTCATACGGGAAACTAGTCTTGATTGGTTTTCATGAATGTACGCGAAGTTCATTTGCTCTTATCCAACATTACACAGCCTCAAATCCCTTTCTTGATCTTGTAGAAACTTTGCACTCCCGTCCGAACAGTGATACTGCTTCAAATGTCATGCACCTCATCTCCCAAAAAAATCTCATTCTCATGAATTGTCCTTCGCAGGCGTGAAGTGGATTAACGTTACAGATATAATTAGACCAGCTGTGTGTGTGGAAATGAGATCTCCTCCCATGCCTTTTCCTTTCCTGCCTTTATATTTCTCATGAAGTTTGTTTGCAGGCTAGGAAACGCAGTGCAGGCAAGCCGGTCTCTTGAAAACTGCCGAAGTATAGGAGAATGTCACAAGGTGAGCAATACCTTTTCAGATTATAGGGAATTTCTAATTTGAAGTTTGTGATTTTCAGATCCAGGCAACGAGAATATTGCTGACGCTGCCACTTCGCAACCATCAACATCCAGACTAAAGTCTCCGCATACATACGCGGAATTACGCCCTTTTAGACTTCAAAATCTGGTGAATCTAATGTTTTTCAATCGAGGCTGAAGAAAATTAAAAAGAAAAGCGGGAAAAGGTTTAATTTATAGTTGATGTAAGTGATTCTGTAGGATTCATCGCAATACACGACAAGTTAGTTGAATTTTGCTTCAAGGTCATTGCTGTAGTTGGTGGTTTGAGCTCTTGAGGTAATCACTCCCAACAATCGCGAACAGCCGAGGGTCGGTGAACGCTTGACGAACACTTGCGATCCTATAGGTTAGTGAAACTGAGGCTAGGAATCGCTGTATGCAGCGGGTATAGAGTAGTATTCATTTTAGAAGCCATTAAAGAATCCCTTGAGAAGCCTGTGGGAACTTCCGACTTCGCTTCAGCGCTGTATGCTTTTTTTTTCGAAGAAATCGTCGACGTTAAGTCGGGCTTCTGTAGAGGTACACCGTTACACCACTACTTTTTAAAAAGATCTCGGAACTTTCAGGAAATTTTACATCATTGCTCAAGCGCGGTAAAGTATTTTGATTTCCGAGACGTCATGCGCTCGGTGCAAAGCGCAGAAAGATCGCGCTTTGGCACACTTTTTGACCGCGCTGAAACAATTCAGCTATCAAAGACCTTTCGACTGATTTACTTCTCATAGGCAAACTCTATTGCGACTTATATACCTTTCCTGTTTAGATTAGACTTTTTGAGTTACCCACTGTCACCTGTACAGGTTCTGGTTGGCCCTTGGCGACACCGAAGAGAATAGAGAAAAACATTTCAAACAACACTTAAGGGCGAAGACGACCTGGTATGACAATTGTAAAACTTGTATGACGCGATCCCTGTAAGTCAAGTTATATATTTGTCTCAAACCATGGCTATCGCAGGATTTTCTTCCAAGAAGGGGAATTTTTTCTTAATCAAGGTGAAAAACATTCTTTCAAAAAGATTTTTGGAGTGCTTTTCGAAATTTCTGCGAGTACATTACCCCTACCTTAGAAATGGAGGGAGGAGCATGCCGGCAGCCACGCTTTCGAAGAAAATTTTTGTAAGGCTAGGTTCTAAAATTATTCAAAAGATTATTTCAATTATTTACAAGAACAGACGAGTCAGTTCCACATTTTTATAACATGTGATTAAATTTCAGAAATTACGCCCTCCCCCTTCGGTCCGCCACTGCTCCCAATTTATTGTTTTGATGACGTAATTTTGGCGTTTGTTTACAGAGAGGACATCCGTTCCTACCGCATGCACTGACTGTTGTCTTTTTTGAATTGATCCCTCCAGATGAAGGCCCTTTTTTTTTGCTTCTTCTCTAAAGTCGAAGATGGTTCCCATGGGTGTGGTGCAAGAGCAGCGATAACAATTGACAGCCGCTGTTTCCATCGCATAATGATGCACTATTTGCTTTACGAATCACGGATTTTAGGTTCATTGAAAATGAGCAGTGTTGTGATAAATTCTTTACTCAATGAATATTGCACGAAGGCCGATGATAAGCGCACTCTTTCTGATGAAATCGCAAGGAAAACCAGGAAATACTTATAGTTTAAGTTTCGAAACGCCAGACTTGTTGTCAACGTACATTCACACCACATGATCAAACAAGCAAAATTAATTCAACTTTTCGATCTTGATATAAGCGTAGGAGATTATGCCTTGAATTCTTGCATTTGAATGGACGAAAATGAGGGAAAAAAATACGCCGGTTAGCGATATCCAACGCCATCGTTTTTCTTGCTCACCACCCTTCTTGCGTGTTTCAATTATTGTACTTATTTAGCTGCATCGATCTCTGAAGAATATCTTCATTATTGCATTTTTGGAATATCTCATTAGAGTTATCATTGGAATTTATTGCATTTATTAGATGGTCCGAAAGTTCGTGCCGTTTTTTAGAAAAACGGCACAAACGGCAAACGGCACTTACAAACGTACAACATGCAAACGCTCCAAACACTATGAAATCCTAGCAAATTGAGACTTTAAAAATGGATTATGTTTGAACACTAATTCCATCAAACTAGTGAGTCACTAGCTCGAAATATTAATTTTTGAAATTTTCTAGTGCAGCTTGACACTCACCAAGTAGTCAAAATTATATTTAACTCGAGGACTACAAATCAGTAAAAAACATCTAATAAAAAGAGAAGGTGAAGGTGCATTGAACGACACCCTAGCTGTTTGCCGTCTGATGTTTTACGTAGTTTGGGATGGATAAATATCTAATTTGGTAGTATCAAAATGATAATTTTAGAAAATTTGAAGAGCTAGCTGTTGATGCCAAAAATTTTCAGATGTCTTTGTTTGCATTCATTGCCACTTTTGATCAGGTTGCTTACTTGCTCTATCGCATATCCTTTCCTCTTCTCTCCTTTTATTACTAATGATGATATTTTGTAGCTCATGACACTGAGTGCATATAACTGATGTAATCTCTGTTGTTATTTTACCTCATTCTTTGGTGTGCTGGCGACGGTTGCCTGTGGTGCATTAAGGACGAAAGCAATTGCCAGCCGCTAATGCATACGTACGGCGATGCGCTGTTCTTCTCACCAAGCGCAAATTTCAGACTCAGTGAAATGAGTAAAGTTGAAATACATTCTATACTGAGTAATTTTTGCATGCAACCCGATGTAAGGGCAATTCGGTAATTCTACTTCAGAAAAAAACCTGAAATATTAGAAGTTTTACCTTTGAAACCTTTTTTCACTAGTTGCATATTTTTGCAGCTTATTTCTATATTTTCAACTCTTCTGTGTAATTTAAAGAATGAAACGAGGAAATCCTGTAAATTTTCACCTACTGATGGCCAGCAATCAGGGAAAGAAACGCGCAGGTTATTGACACCCTCCGGGTATTGTTCCTGTTGCTTGCCACCCCGGTTGCCGAGTTGCGGGGGGGGGGTTAGAGAGCACAGCACACGGAATGCACAGTGAGGTTTTAAAACGGCTGGCAATTTCGGCAGCAATTGCCGGCAACTATGTCTTTGTGTGCGTATTTTTTGAATGCTTAATAATGAAGTACTTTGCATATGTTAAAGAGAAATTTTGATATGCACTATGTTCTGTTTCATTACCATACCTTTGTCTTTTGATCACCATCTCTCCCTCCCCCTCAATTTTTTTCCAGACTCGGTGTATTTCAGTGCGGTTGCACATCACCATCACCATTATCAGCAGGATAAATTAAGGTTCAACTACAAAATTTCAAACTGCATTAACTCAGGACAGAAAGGATTATCCAAGAAGGTAATTCTTCTTATATGCAGTCAGAGGTCAAGCAAGGGAAGAACAGCGCATCGCCGTACGTATACATTAGCGGCTGGCAATTGCTTTCGTCCTTAATGCACCACAGGCAACCGTTGCCGGCACACCAAAAAATGAGGTAAAATAACAACAGAGATTACATCAGTTATAAGCACTCAGTGTCATGAGCCAAAATATCATGATTAGTAATAAAAGGAGAGAAGAGAGTTAAGTACGTTAAGTACGTTCTGGAATTGAGCGCTACTTACTAGTTGGGTCCCAGTAACTACAATGGAAAGTATAACATGTGAAGAGTGAGAGACTCACAATGAAAGGCAAAAGTACGATAATGATATTATACATGATAACAGAGTTTCCTCTATCATACTAAAATCTTTTTCATTGAACAAAGAAGAGGTAACAAATCAACTCTTAACAAAATATATACCTCTGGACAGTCAATAAAGCAGGCGATATAAGGCAAGGTAACAACTTTCAATGAAGAATTGAGACAGGTGCTCAAGTCAGGCATGAGCGAGCAGTTCAAAATTGGGAGAAGATTACCATTATTTGAGGTACTTTCTTATAAGAAAAAATATTCACAAAGATTAATGATCGATAACAATATGAAAAAAAAAATTTGTATGGGAAAAGGCTAAAAGGGAAGCAATTTTTCAGCGTGCACCGCTTCCGTCTGGGGCACCGCCTCCCTCAGTGTCAGTTGTCTCCACGCTTCAGGTGTCATTGCTTTCTTATCAGCCCATCGCAGACCATCCTCATCACCATTCTGTAACAAAGTGACCGACGTTGCGCAGTGATGACTAGAATGGGAGCAAACGAACCACTGCAGGGACCAAGCGTCCTTCACACATGCAATAGCCACGAACATCCTCTCTAACAATAAAGTTATTCAATGCTGGAAGCACAAACCAAACATAGAAGTGAAGGCACTCACAGTGCTTTTGCTATGCACGATTTCGATATTCGGACCCAGTGAAGTGTGGCTTTCAGAAGACGTTTGAATTCGCGTTCTCGCTCCTCTTCACAATCTGCCAAGCTCAGCCAAAACCTAAACATTTTTGTTATGACGGCCGACGCAGAGACATCTACACAAACACATACGCGTTATCAGAACACTTCAGACCTTCAGACCTCCAACTACTGAGCTCTCGTTGACCTAGTTCCCTTGCTTCCACTATGAAATCTGAAAAAGTAAGACTAATGCAACGAATGTGATGTACAGGATCACCAATCAGTGGATGAAGGATTGTCCCCGGTAATTCTAATAGGCCTTTGAGTGCCCCATGTGGGGTGCGGTGATGAAGGCGACAATCCCCAATTTTGTGCCTATCATAAACTCTCCGGTGTCAAAGTGACACCCCGGGGGACTACGGGGGTGGGGGGTGGGGGCAGATACATTACTCAATGCCACAAGTAGAAATCCGTGAAAGTCACTGAGACGGATGATACACAGCCTCCATTTTTCGCCAATTGTCGCCTTCCGCGTGCCCCCCCCCCCATGTGAGTATTTCCAAATGTCTGATGGGTCGGGGTAGCATATCTGGAATGATATGAAAAACTGATAGCATATCATTTATTAGTGGATAATTCACCTGAGAAAAGAGCGATCGTAAGAAGCAGGTAATTTCATCGAAGGCATCCTTTGCTATTTTCGCTACCTGTACGTGATGGTGCAAAAACAAGTTCAAATTCATACTCTACAAAAAAAGGCAGTCAAAATCTTTTTGCAGATGACCCCGTCATTCATACCTTGAACGGCTTGCGGAGATCCAAAACATATACTTTTTCCAAATTCTCATAATTCAGAGCCCACCGTACTTGATTAGAAACAGTGGGCGCACGGGTTTTAAAGGCACCGTCCACCCAAATTCTCGACTTCCATGTTTGTATCGCTTTCTGGCCTTCTGAAGGCCCTGATTTCAAATATGAAGTCGAGAATCCCAAAAAACCCCTATTTTGGAGAAAGCATGACGGGTGGAAATGCAGTTTGCAGGGCTGCGGCGCGGTTATCGCCCGGCGTATACGCCCTCTTAACCGTTATCCGTTAAAATTTACGTCTACAATTTTGATCGGAAGATTTTCCCGCTAGTAAAAAATATATGAAAATTCTGTGGACTAATAAATGTGTACAGGGCTTTACAACCTGAGTGTCCCACCCGCCCCGCTAGGACGCCACGCTTAGGTCCGCGCAGCGTTCGTGGCGCTGGCTGCGCGTCGACTGAAGCTTGGCGAAATCCGGGGGATACGCAGCAAACGCCGCGCGCGGCCTGAGCGAGGCGGCCGCGTTGGAGGAGCCGCGCAAGCGAAACTTGCGACTCTCAGGTTGAAAAGCCCTGTACATGAGATACCTGCTAACAAGGACATAGGATGTGTAGAGAAACATTTGATGAAATCCAAAAAGGGCATAGAGAGGAACTCTCATTCCAAAAAAGCTCAACATACCCTAAGCAGGATAATTATGAAGTCGAGTGTTGCTGAGAAGAAAGATAAATACCTGTGCATGCCAATAAAGATTCAATTCTGGTACAGAGATAGCTAGTGTTTCGATGGCAAACGCATGTACAGTTACGGCAATCCATGTGTATAGATACCGACCGCCATGACGATAGGCTTATTTGATATTTGATAAAGTAAAAGAAAAGAGCTTTCCAAAAACTCACTAAAGACCTCACCGTAACACGGTACAAAACCTCACCTGGACCATGGTGACAGCTTTCTGACCTATACCTTTCCTAGTTTCAGGCGAGACTGTGAAAGGCAAGTTATCGAACAAATACCGATCCAACAAGTAGTCCATGCTAAAAACTTGCTTTATTCAAAGAAACTTGAACCAGAAACGATTGTGAATAATGAAGTGAACGATCGATGAAGATAGATGAAGTTTGCAAGAAGCAGCTCTAAAATAACCATAAGGACGACGGACTGCCGATGATATGGGATAAGCCAGAACTGCAAGCGTAGCCCTTACCAACTGAAGTAGGCACAAAGGATATGAAAGAAGAAAACGCCTTCAAGCGGTTATATTAGCTAGAAGACGTCTACAAAGAGGAGTGATTAGTCAGAACTCTTTTGAAAAACGTGCTTTATGTTCCTTCCTAGATTTGATTGCGGAAAGTGCTTGGAAAAGCAATTTTTCAAAGCTTGCTGTTAAGAATGTGAATGAAAGGAAGGAAGAAAAAACCAAATAATGGTTTGATTACGCCAACTTCGCGCCGCGGAAAATAAATTTGCATTCGGCGACAAGTTCAAACCCGCATTCATAGTGAATTCGCGATATGAGCGATTACAACTTATGCCTACAAAGCAAGTTATTGTACAGCAGCTTGATTAACGCAGTTGGCATCAGTTGCAAATGGTGGATATATCTACGGTAAAGGAATGAAATGATTATCGTTTCGTGTGAGACAACCTCGAAAAGCTTTGGACACGTGTAATTAACAAGTTGAAACATGTGCTCTAATTTATCTTGGATGTAACAATCTTGGAAATCAGAGAGCAAACATGTTTGAGCCTGTGTAACGTGTGCAAAGCGTTTTCGAGTATCGCAGTTCAAAAACAAAAAACTACCTATCCTACCAAAGATGCATCCTTTATATCTTTTTCTACCTAAAGGTATATTCTTTGCATAAAACGCTCGTTAGCCAGGCTGGTAAGCACTGTGTGACACGGAACAACAACACGGATTATTTAGACGATACTTTCATCACAACAACACTAGATAGTTGCGCAACTAACCTCATTGTTTCGAAAATCCAGAATTAATCACAAAAACCACTCCATCAATAGTCTACGATGTCTCAGCAAATCGGAAAGAGCCAAACAATGAAGGTGATTGAGTGCAACCGCACGAAATTTTCAAACATAAACCTGAAAACGAGGAACTTACAGCAACATAAACGCCAACGCGACGAAGAGCAACGCGGAAAAGGAAAAAACGGTAAAGAAACGCGCAAAAACAACAGAATCAAAGAAAGGCGACTAAAATATGGACAAAGAGCGTAAACAGAGGACTCATCACCGTGGAGTTAGACGTTTGCTTGCTACGCGCCAAATCGATACGCAGCCTGCTCCGGATACCTCCCATTTCTCCGGCGGATACCTCCCATCTTCTGCTCCGGATACCTCCCATTTTCTGCTCCGGATACCTCCCATTTTCTGCTCCGGATACCTCCCATTTTCTGCTCCGGAGGCCTCCCATTTCTGCTCCGGACCCCTCCGATTTTCTCCGGCGCGTGTCTTCCAAATTTGGCGGACACGCGCCGCGCAGACCTCTGCGGCGCGGAGTCCGTCAAATCTGGCAGAGTCGCGCCGGAGAAATGGCGGACCTTTGCAGCAGGGCCGGAGAAGCCTCCCATTTGCCTGCCAGTGATGCCACCGCGATGGACCGCCCATTTGCCCTTCTCTCATTGGTCAACTGGGTCCGGCGCGACCCTGGCAGTTTCCGAGGGTCCGGCGGAGGGGTCCGATCGATTGTCTGAGTATATCAGTGCCGCAGCCCTCAAAGCTGCAAAATGGGCGGAGTGACCACCTCCGGATCACGTATCACGTACCTTCCAGAGCGGATTTCTCGCTCCGGAAGCATTCTTTTGCGGGGAAACTTGGGGGTTGGCCTAGTGTGAGGGCCCACATTAGTATGCCATCAAATCTCGTGAACCCTCATTTTGGGTGGACGGTGCCTTTAAAGGCTTTGATCAAGCGCACCTCATTCTGAAGCCCAGCCAATTCTTTTAGTAGCAAGTTCTTCTGAACCGTAGCTTATATAGGATCCTAAGTCTACGTTGACTGTGGTACCTGAAGCCTATGAGCGATGCGGACCCCTGCTAGGGAGCGAATAGCCTCGGCCTGGTTAGATGATGTGTTCAGTTGAGATGTTCTTGCCATATGTTGAAGGTCACTCATGTCGAATTGAATTTCGTGGAGACACTCACAGATAATTCGCTGGAAAAACAAACTCAATTTGTTTTTAGTAAGGCACTGCTCGCATTTGTACCTCCAGATCGGTGCTACTGAGCATGCCCTTGGCGATTTGATCATATAAATCCCTTGGGAAATCGCTAACATCAATGACATTTCTAAGGCAGGTTCTCACAGTTTCTGAAGCAACTTTCACCCGTTGTTTTGATGAGTGTTATTTGTTTCGTGAAAAAGATACCCGGTGCGTCGGTCAACGTGCTTGATGGAGTTTCGTTGCGCACTGTCTGACCCTCGTGCTGCTGCTCCTCGGGCACAAAATGCTTCTCGAGCATTATTGGCTGTTCCTTGCGCATTGGCTGCTCTTCGAATGTTACTGGGTAGTTCGAAGGTAACGGCTGTTCCTCGTACATAGGTTGCTTTTCGCGCATCGACTGCTCCTGCTCCTGTTGCGTACGCTGCTCCTCGCACATCAGTTGCTTTTCGCGCATCGGCTGACAAACCTCGTCAGCTTCCGCCATCCCAGCGCACCGTTCCTTCTTATAAAAGCGAGGTGTCCTAGTGATGAGATGAGAAAGTAGAGGAAAACGTAAGTAAATGCAAACTAACGAGTGATACACAGATGAAAATGACGACGAACATGAAGAACGCTTTTGTTTCTGATCCTTGTGCACAGGCTTCCCTTCGTGCAATAACTGCCCCGGCTGCCTTTCCGATTGTTGTTGTAGTGCCAGCAAGCACTCGCTTCCAAACTTCTGAATGAGGATATAATTAAGAAATTAAAATTGAAATACATCGTTACTGTGATGAATGGGAGATAACATGAAAAGAACGGGACAAGACCTCTTTGACTTCTACGATTCTTTCCTCAGTGCATTGTTTTTTATGAAAGGGAAGTGTCTCAGCGAAGAGGTGAGGAGGTACGTGACATTCAGATGAAGACGACGGTGATCTCAAGCGCCGTTTCGATCCCCTCTTCTTGTGACTTCCTATCACTCTTTCAAGCTCATCTCGACGAGAAGGTACATAGATGTTCTCTCGACTTGCCTCCTCCACAGGTGAAGCTGTAATATAGAAATACCCATTACCAAACTATGAAACCTACAGCCAAAATGATTGACCTAGCGAACTAGAAGATGAGTTTTCTTCCCAAAGAAAATCCGCCTTGTCAAGGAAACCGTCCTTTAGATGAAAATATTTGATAATGGTATCCTTCGACCAACCTTGTATGTTTATAGAAGAAACGCTCTAAAGTCCATATTTCTACCACTTTAACGCAAGAGCCATCATGTCACGATAAATCGTACTTATTTAGCTGCATCGATCTCTGAAGAATATCTTCATTATTGCATTTTTGGAATATCTCATTAGAGTTATCATTGGAATTTATTGCATTTATTAGATGGTCCGAAAGTTCGTGCCGTTTTTTAGAAAAACGGCACAAACGGCAAACGGCACTTACAAACGTACAACATGCAAACGCTCCAAACACTATGAAATCCTAGCAAATTGATACTTTAAAAATGGATTATGTTTGAACACTAATTCCATCAAACTAGTGAGTCACTACCTCGAAATATTAATTTTTGAAATTTTCGAGTGCAGCTTGACACTCATCAAGTAATCAAAATTATATTTAACTCGAGGACTACAAATCGGTAAAAACATCTAATAAAAAGAAAAGGTGAAGGTGCATTGAATGACACCCTAGCTGTTTGCCGTCTGATGTTTTACGAAGTTTGGGATGGATAAATATCTAATTTGGTAGCATCAAAATGATACTTTTAGAAAATTTGAAGAGCTAGCTGTTGGTGCCAAAAATTGTGTTACATTGCAATTTGTCTATTCTGTTAACTGCCATCAAAGCGTTTTCAAAAGTCCAAAATGAAAAGTACAAAAACTAGCTGAAGTTAGGGTACGTAGAGCTGGAAAGAGATCGAGATTCTGCATAGGACAATGCTTAGAATGCTTGTCTATTGGTACTCTGAATGTTTAAGGATAGGTAAAAAAAGGCACGAACTTTTGAACCACCTTATGTTTGGCTGCATCGATTCGTGAAGAATACCTATATCACTGCCTTTAAAAGATCTCGTTTTATTACATTTATTTGGTTGCTATTTGTGGAAAATATCTCGTTATAGAAGATTTTTATGCGATATTGAGAATTTTTGAGAACGTTCAGTATCATTATAACTTCACCTTTTGTGAAACGTTTCCTCTCATTTCACATATGCTATTTTTCCAGTGTGAAATTTTGGTGTGTTGCACATTGTCACCTCAAAAAGATTATAAACTTGAACTCAACTCGATCGAGCTCCCTTGTCAGATTTGCAGCACTTTGTATGCATATTTTTTATTGCTTTGTTCATAATGAAGTATTTTGCATACGTTAAGGAGAAATTTTATTACAAACTATGTTCTGTTTCATTAACATACCTTTGCTTTTTGATCATCATCTATCTCTTTTTTTAGACTCAGGGTATTTCAGTGCGGTTGCACATCACCACCATCAGCAGGATAAATGAAAGTTCCACTCATTTACGAAATACTCCATTAACTCAGGGCAGAAAGGATTATACAAGAAGGTAACTCTTTTAGTACGCGGTTATGCGATTAGCTCACATAAACAAAAGTCATTTTTTTTACGAATAAATGAACGCAAAAAAGTAAAGATAAACGTCTACACAATTCTAGATATTGGTCGTGCGGTTGCACTATTCAACCATCGACATACCTGTTTTTTGGAATCCATCGTAAGTCCTCTCATCATCATCATTGGTATCATCAACATACTTTTCCTTCAAGTTATTTTTTTTGATTTGTTTTTTTTTTAAATTTTTGAGTTGATTTGCTTTTACCTCTTTGTTCGATGATACAGAATTTCTGTATGGTAGAAGGAACTTAGTATCCTGTATAGTATCATCGTCATACTTTTGCCTTTCATGATGTCTTTCTCAAATTTCACATATCAATTTTTCGATTGCAGTTACTGAGACCCGCTAGTAATTGGCCAAAGTTAAGGCACTGAATTCCAGAGCGTACCATCTGAAAAGGTAACTTTTCTAGTATGCAATTTGATAAAGGATTGGCATACCTCATTCAGAGGTGTTTTTTTCTGTAGTCCCTAGTGCGTGCAGTTGCACAATGCAGCCTTCGAAAACTTGGATTTGAAATAACGACTCGATCAGGGCAAGTTGTACGTCATTTACAAGCTACTTATAATAAGTGGTTTTGGGGTGGGTTATATACTATCTGTTGTCCTTATGAATTTGAAGGAGTATGATTAGGCTTTTCTTGCTTTGAAGGCAGCGTCCCCTCAAAAAGATGGGTACCGGGATTTTACAGTGTTCCAATAGTAGAGCCTCCATATAGCCTCTATCAATGAAGCCCGCAGCGAAAAAGCGCTTCTGGAAAGCCCAAAATCCGCTCCGGAAGTCTTTCGGACCTCACCCACTTCCAGACCCCGCCCACTTCTTAGGCCCCGGTCAGACTTCACGCGACTAAATCGTCGCGATCTAATCGCCAAGATTTCCATTCATTTTCATTTCACATCCAAAAATTTCGGGCTGGAAAAGTATCACAACCGAATGCAAGGTGATCGGCATGGAATGATGTTGTAACAGTTGTCTCGTCGCGATTCAGTCGCGACGATCAAATCGCGTGAAGTCTGCCCGGGGCCTTACACGTAATTTGGAGAGAACGCGGAGGAGAGCTTCGAAAACAGCTCATTTTTGCCATTTTCAAGCGCTGAAAAGCTCAGATTTGGCTTCAGCATGGCGAAAAGGCTCTGAAGAGATGAAAAACTAGAGAGCGATATTTTGCCGGCACATTTCTCTTGAAGATCAGAGCAATTAAATTGGTGTATTTAGGGGAATTGGGTAAGGTAGCCACGATCTCCTTCGCTTTGTTGCGTATGTAAATCAGATAAGGCTCACATATTATTATTCGCAGTGAGAACAGGCGACAGTAATTCATTAGCGATAAAAGCCTTAAATCATTTGGTTCAAAACCGCTCCTATCAGCGCTTTGCATACGGCAAATACTTGGATTTTGAATTTGCATTTCATTCGCTTTTTGATCCTCTGTCTATAACAGGTTGCAGGTCTCCAGCAGTGATCAACTATTGATGCAAAAGATAGTGGATTCCCGACTCCGGCAGCAGGTGTACGGAATGACCTTTTTCTTTCTAGATTTATGAACCGTCGCAGGCCACCTGCATCCCCACCAATGCGTTTCGTTGACAGGTCACCGTCACCGCCGAGGTCTCCCTTGAGCTCCATTCAGATTCTATTGACTGCGCCTAAGGACTACCGTAACCGTTATTCTGGGCAGCATGGGTGTAGGCCCTTCTGAACCTGCCCCAATCGCGACGGCTATAAGAGGTCAGCGCTAAACAGAGGTCACTCCATGATTGGCTAGCTCGCGGGAGCGAGCGGCTGACCTGGGCAGACGCGCTGCGGAGGCGGACGAGTTTCACATCGCTGGTAACCTACTCCACAATGAGATCCTCGAGGTAATCTCTAGAAAATTCCTAAATTCCCCAAATTCCTTGGAATTCAATAGCTTAATTATTCGCTCTACTCCACACTATAAATCGCCGGGCACTTTCTAAGGTGGTATGTTTTTGATCCATGAGACATTTTCAGTGTCTTTTTCGACTTTTTTACTTTTTTTAGTTCGATTGCATGCTCTACTCTCCTACGTCTGCCTCCTTGCAGCATCATCTAGTCACATTCAATTGAAATGTGCACTACATGCATGCCAGTAGGGAAGCATACGTTATTTTGATGAGTATGAAGTTTTTTCCACACCGTCCATATCAAAAACGCAATCAAATGAAAATGCATCACCTTCATTTGGTAGCGTGATCTACATGGATTAATTTTGGTAGCGACCTTTCTTTGCTGCACGCATCATGCTTTTTATATCGTAAAAATATCAAATGCACGTTCGTAAACTTTACTAGAATGAGAATTTTGAGGAGATGATAATTTCTTTGGAAGGCTACAGAGCTGCACTGAAATGTCAGAAGGAAATACGCATCTGATAACGAATTAACGTAGATCACCAATTTAAGTTATAATTGGCCTTTATAAAGAGTTGTTACACAAACTTTGATTACGTGGGCTTTCCTCAACAACATCAAGCAGCTCACATTAGCAATATGATGTGACGATGCACGACGTCATAAGCATCGCACACACAAGGGATTTAAGTGGGAAAAAAAGCAAGAAAAAACAAAGTCCCTAAAGAATTCAAAGTGGATTCATGAGTTTTTTTATGAATCATGTAAATGAAAAGACTTCGAAAATGTCTCATACTTCATAAACATACCTGCTGGGAAGTAGGGCTCAGAATACCAGACATTCAGAGGATGGTAGCTGTGTTTGGTTGAAGGTCAGCATGATTGGCTTGCATTCCACATTGCGAGAGCCGCACGAAAAGAGTTGGTGATTTTCGAAAATACGAGCCCTTCGCGGAGCACTCATGGGCTACTACGTCGCGCCGCGCTGGATCGAATTCCTTGTACAGCTAAGGTTCGAGGTCATCTCAGAACTCGTTTCGGAACATATCGACCTCTGGAAAGCGCCGACTTCTTGTCGAGGAGGTTCACACCATTGTTGTTTGCCAAGGCATTTTGACGTTTTCACATGAAGTCAGTGCGCTTTATCGAACTGCAGCACATTGCTGACGGCCGGCTATTATGTACCCGACAACAGCGAAATAATCATAAATACTTTAAAGGCATCGTCCACCCACATTTTCGACTTCCACGTTCTTGTCGTTTCAGGGCCTTCTCATTTCCCTGATTCCGAATATGAAGTCGAAAATGTGCGAAAACCCCGACAATCCCCGTTTCGGAGAACCCACAGGCCGGCTTTCCGGAACGGTGATTGGATGGGCGCGCACAAATGGGCGGGCATGGATGGGGGTCCTCGTGCATCTTCGCTATTCCGAAGCGATTTTCTCGCTTCCGAAGCGGCATTTTGCACCGCGACTTGGACATTGGATTGATACTGGGCCCTACTATTACATGCTGCCAAAAGCTCAACACCCTCAACTTAGGGTGGACGGTGCCTTTAACAGGAGACCATCGGATGATGTTCTACCAACATTATAGAGGGATGAGCAGTGCTAAATTGTAGTGCTTTGTTCTGCAAAAGCTTTGATTTGCAATAATAATGAGCGGTTATGCGAAAGCCGTGTTTTTTAGTTCACGTGTTGTCGTAAATGGAAAGGTTTTTTGCTCGAATAGATACTGGCAGAGAGTGTGCGATACGGATACTTCTTCTTTTTGCTTAAGAGCTACGGAAGATGGCGTTACACAGATCTACTCATACGGGAAACTAGTCTTGATCAGTTTTCATGAATGTATGCGTAGTTCATCTGCTCTTATCCAACATTACACATCCTCAAATCCCTTTCTTGATCTTGTAGAAATTTTGCACTCCCTTCCGAACAGTGATAATGCATCAAATCTCATGCACTCTCCTAAAAAAAAATCTCATTTTCATGAATTGTCCTTCGCAGCGTAATGTGGATTAACGTTACAGATATACAGTCTGCCCCCATCCTAACCAGGCCAAAATTGGCATGGCTGGAGTCCGCGTCTCAAGGATTTCGCGGTCACGTCCACGGCCTGCTTCTCTGCTCTCTCTCCAATCGTTTTGCTCTCTCCGACAGCGCGCACATGCAGCGCAGACCGCAGACTGCGAGCGCGCAAATTTACGCCAACGTTTCGGCCTGATCCCGATTGAAGCAGACTGTAATTAGACCAGCTGTGTGTGTGGAAATGAGATCTCCTCCCATGCCTTTTCCTTTCCTAGTCTTTGTATTTCTCATGAAGTTTGTTTGCAGGCTAGGAAACGCAGAGCAGGGCAAGCCGTTCCCTTGAAAGCTCTGCCGAAGTATAGGAGAATGTCACAAGGTGAGCAATACCTTTTCAGTTTAAATAGGGAATTTCTAATTTGAAGTTTGTGATTTTCAGCCCCAGACAACGAAAATTTTGCTGGCGCTGCCACTTCGCAACCATCAACATTCAGGCTAAAATCTCCGCATACATACGCGGAACTACGCTCTTTTAGACTTCAAAATCTGGTGAGTTTAATTGTTTTTCAGTCGAGACTGAAGAAAATTGAAAAGAAAAGCTGAAAAAGGTTTAATTTATTGTTGACTAGATGGCAAACCCGGCTCCGCCCGGCCCTGTCATTATCATATTTGTAATCAGCATGCTCGATTACCCCCTGTGCCAACTCCCAGCCCCGTAGCTCAAATTTTGCAAAAAATCGATAAAATCGATATCGGTCGATGACGAAAAGTAGCCTATGACACGCTCCCTGCCCCGAAGTGTACGTGTGCCAAGTTTGGTCCAAATCGGTTCAGAAATAAAAATTTCTATTCCGCACATACGTACAAACAGACAGACAGACAGACAGACAGACACACATTCAGCTTTATAGATAAGATAAGATGTAAGTGATTCTGTAGGATTATGCAAACGAAGAGACGTCTGAGTTCTCGGCTATATGGAATCCGTATGCAGCAGTGGCGTACCCAGGATTTCGGCTCGGGGGGGGGGAACCGCAACAAAAAATTTTTTCAAAAAGAAGGTGCGTGGCTAACGCCACTCCGAAAAAATTTTTGGGGGTGCTTCCCAAAATTTTTTCGGGTTCCCGACCCCTAAAATCTGGAAAAAGGGGGCGTGGCGTCAGCCACGCCCCCGAAAAAAATTTTTTTACAGGGCTAATTTGAATTTTTAAAATTTTTTAAAAATTATTTTAATTATTTACAAAAATAAACAAGTCACTTACACATTTTTATAACCCATATAAGTAACAACCCCCGCCCCCCCCCCTCGGTACGCCACTGGTATGCAGTGGAAGTATGGGGAATTCTGTCGCCGGAGACAAGCATGTCATCGCGATACACGACAAGTAACTTAATTTTGCTTCAAGGTCATGGCTGTAGTTGGTGGTTTGAGCTCCTGAGGTAATGACTCCCAACATTCGCGAACAGCCGAGGGTCGGTGAACGCTTGACGAACACTAGCGGTCCTATAGGTTAGTGAAACTGAGGCTAGGAAGCGCTGTATGCAGCGGGTATAGAGTAGTATTCTTTTTAGAAGCTATTAAAGAATCCCTTGGAAAGCCCGTGGGAAATTCCAACTTCGCTTCAGTGCTGTATGCTTTTTTCTCGAAGGAATCGTCGACGCCGATACACCACTACTTTAAAAAAGATATCGGAGCTTTCAGGAAATTTTACATCATTGTACACGCGCAGTAAAATGTTTTGATCTCCGAGACGTCATGCGCTCGGTGCAAAGCGCAGAAAGACCGCGCTTGGGCTCAATCTTTGGCCACGCTGAAACAATTCGGCTACTAGCGGAAAATGACATAGCACATCGAGTCCAGGGAAATCTCAGTAGCTGGAATTTTGGACTAGCATTAACACGTTCAGAAAAACCTTCTGCTCGTGATCGCTATGGACCTTAGGGATGAACTCAATCGTCTGCGTCGTTCCAGCAATTACGATTCGCCTATCATAAGTGTGCAGCAGTTCAAATACGACAATTTGATGCTGACAATGAGCATATTTTGGACTATCACCATGCATTCAAGGTATGCAGAAAGGAGGGAGAAAATGGATTAGAGCTTACTCTTTCTCATCAAAAAGATGAATTTGAATGACTGCCTTTGTAGGTACAGTCCTCCGAAAAGGTCGATGGGATGCCCAGTCAAACAAGTTATGGATTTCCTGCGAAATGTTTTCATAGACGTGCGCGAGTGAACAAGACCGCGTCGGTCTTTTCGAGATTCCCTTTATATATGAGATCCGAATCCATGCGAAATCTGGAATTACACGTACCATGTCTCAAAATCTCCTCGAGGAGATAAAAAATTGATTGATGTGCCGGAATTAGGGAATTTTGTTTTTGACTCCTGAACGCCGAGACGAAATGATCTAAGCTGTTGTGATGATCACGCGAACCTATGGGCAAACCCCAACGTGCCCCCCCCCGGAGAGTCGCGAAATTTTTGAAACTTACCTATATGGGTTATAAAAATGTGCAAACGACTTATTATTTTTGATATTTTTGTTAAGAATTAAAATAATTTTCAATTTTAAAAAATACAAATTAGCCTTATAAAAAGGTTTTTTTTCGGAGGACCAGCGAAAATTCTGAAAAACGCCCCGAAAATCTTTTCGGAGTGCGTGGCTACCGCCGCGCACCTTCATCTGAAAAAAATTTTTGTCCCCCCTCCCCCTGTACCGTGTCTCAAAATGTCCTCGAGGAGATAAGAATTTGACTAATCTGCAGGAAAGAATTGTTCACACCGTCACAGGTGACGCTTTTTTCCTAAAATTTGTCTTAGTATTTAACGAATTTTTTTTAAATTTATAAAAATTCGTAACAAATGAGAATTTGCTCCTAAGTGACATGATTGACAGTGACGAGATTTACGTGCACTAGTTTGCTTACCCGGCTCCGCTCGGCCCTGTCAAAAGGCTGTAATAGAGGTTCCATCCCTATTTCTGTACAACCTTTCCCTGTGCCCACATTTACACTTCACTTCCCGTTCCCTAGGTTGTTTTCGAAATCAGCATGCCTACTTACCCCCCCCCCTTGTGCCAACTCCCAGCCTCGTAGCTCGAACTTTGCAAAAAATCGATAAAACGACAAGTAATGCAAAAAATCGATAAAATGATAAGTAATGGATAATTCCAGAAACTAATATTGTATTTGGAATCGCTATGCTCACTTACCGCCCATTGCCAACTCCCAGCCCTGTAACTCACACTTTGCAAATAATCAATAGAATCGATAGAAGTAATCGGTAATTTGGGGTGCTCCTTGGAATTTTTTCGGGCCCCAGACCTCTAAAATCTAGAAAAAGGCGGCGTAGCGTCAGCCCCCCCCCCCCCAGAAAATTTTTTTTTACAAAGCTAATTTGAATTTTTGAAAAATTTCAAAAATTATTCTGATTATTTACAAAAATAAGCAAGTCATTTGCACACTTTTATAAACCATGTAGGCAAGTTTCAGAGATTTCGCGACACATTCCCGGAGGGGAGGGGGCGTTCCCCCCCCCCCCCCTCGGTCCGCCACTGACTACCGATCTTATAGGTTAGTGAAACTGTGAGTAGGATAGCGCTCTATACAGCAGGTATAGAGTAGTGTTCTTTTTAGAATTGTCATCGTGTTAGGCAGAAATATCCTTTTATTTGTTTTAAGTTGAGATGCAGTTGTTTTGCTCTTTACGACACACATCCACGCAAGGTATGATCGTAAATTGTGGTAAATCTCATTCAGTCCTGTTTCCAGCTTCTCATATCTGTTTTCACAGGAGTAGCTTTGCTCGTAATCGTTACAACTTACTTGAATTCCCTCTGAATTTTCGATTTTCTTTACGCAAACCTCTGAATAAAGAACTCTTCTTTTTCAATTACTGGTCATGATATTCTGTAGCTTATAACGCGGAATACTTTTACCTGTAATCTCTGCTGTTCAATATCCCATTTTTGGCGTTCATTCAGAGAGCCTCCACAGGTTGCCAGCCACGGTTGCCTATGGTACATAAGGAACGAAAGCAATTAGCCGCTACTGCATACGCACGGCAATGGATATTCTTTTTACAAAGCGCGGATTTCAGACTCAGTGAAATGAGTAGTTCAAATAATTGCTATACTGAGTAGTTTTTGCTTGGAGCCAGATATAAGGGCAATTTGGCAATGCTACTGCAAGAAAAAACCTGAAATATTTGAAGTTTTACCTTCGAAACCCTTTCCACTAATTTGACATATTTTTGAAACTCATTTTTGTATTTTCAACTCTTCTGTGTAATTGAAAGCATGAAACGAGGAAATCCTGTAAATTTTCGCCTACTGATGGTCAGCAGTCAGGGAAAGAAACGCGCAGGTTATTGACACAAGAGGTATCGTTCCTGTTGCCCACCCCGGTTGCCGATGTTGCTGGGGTGTTAGAGATCAACACATAGAATGCACAACGAGTTTTACAACGACCAGCAATTTCGGCAACCGTTGCCGGCAATCTATGACCGTTCTCTTACGCTCAAATTGGTCTTTCTTCCATCTCATCTGGTAACATTCAACTGACTGCATAGATCTTTGAGCATATATCTTGGTTACTCAGATTTGCAGCATGCTTTGTATGCAAATTTTTTGATTGCTTTGTTTATAATGAAGTATTTTGCATACGTTAAGGAGAAATCTTATTACAAACTATGTTCTGTTTCACTAACATACCTTTGCTTTTTGATCACCATCTCTCTCGAAATTTTTTTTTCAGACTCAGGGTATTTCAGTGCGGTTGCACATCACCACCATCAGTAGGATGAATCAAAGTTCTATAAAGCTCAAGTACAAAATATACCGCATCACTCAGAGCAGAAAGATTTATTCAAGAAGGTAATTCTTCTAGTACGCAAGTATGCGATTAGCAGATGCAAATAAAAGTGTCATTTGTAAGGATAAATAAACGTCCACATGATTTTAGAGATTGCGTGCAGTAGCACTATTCAGCCAACGACATACCTGTTTCTTTGGAATCCATCGTAAGTTCTCTCATCATCATCATTGGTATCATCATCATACTTCTGCCTTCATATTATTTTTTAATTTGCTTTTTTTGGTTTTTTGAGTTGATTTGTTTCAATCTCTTCTTTGTTCGGTGCTGAAGAATTTTTGCATGATAGAGGGAACTCTATTATCATGCAGCTCTGGGTGTGGAGTGGGACGTGCGTCAAAGTGGAGTATATTTTGGTAGCAAAAAATGGTTTTATGATCTGCAGATACTTTCTAAAGGGTGGGGCAAAAGTCTGGCAGCCTAGTACTTTTCCAGATAAACTCGAACGAAAGTGCCTAGAAACAAAAAATTTGGTGCACACATGAATCGAACCTTTGCAAATACAGTGCAGCTCTCAGATTTTTAGATTGCCTCTTTTGGCTTCGAAGTAGCCCTTCACAATCCTGGCAAGTCTGTCTGCTGTGCACGCAGGCAGTAGAGATGAAATTTGTCCCATGCCTTCATGATAACTGCTTCTTTCACTAAAATGTGCAGTATGATAGAGCAAGCTTTTGACTACAACATAGTTCACGATGAAATTTTTTTGCGAAATTTAGAAAAGAATTTTGGAATTTTAAGTGAAGGCAAGTGTACTCGCATACTGAAAATTTGGATGAGATTGCGCGAACGGAAGCGAGAAATTACAATTCAAAAAGTATTGAAATTGCTCCATTGATCAAATTCAAATAGAAGCCTGTATAGAAGACTCATGGAAAGAATATAGCATAACACCCGGTCTTGCCGCGCTCCTATAGCTTTAGAATTTTAATTTTAAGACAAATGGCCAGTGGCACGCAGTAATATTCGCAAATTTTCATTTTGCGTTCTCGAAAGAATAGTTTCTGGTGAACTCAATTACTACGATGCGATAGCGCAAAGCCTCCTCTACATTGTGTGCATCAAATTGTTGTAGGATATTCACAGTAACTTCAGCTACGAAATAAATTGTGAATACTAAAAATTTTGATTTTCTCGCTCTGCAGAATCACTTGCTTGATAGAACCAATTCTTACAAATATTACGTTGTCCGGAAATTAATGCAGGTTTTGCATATTCTCACTTCAAAGCGCCATACTCCTTTGAAATTGCATATTCTGAAATGAGGTAAAGACTACTGTGATCAGCAAGTCTTTTTCTATTTGCTGCTTTTTCATTTGTAACTGTAGCTCAAACAAGCAAATTACTGAAAGCCAGAAAGTAAAAAGAGATTTCTTGGACGGGGTCATACTTGGCAAGTTGTAGACTCCTACCGGATATGAGTGTTCAGCCAGAAACTTCTGCAGCTTATAGCCACAGACCAGTACTTCATACATAGCTGTGCAGAAAATTTTTTAGAAATTTTCTGCGATAGAAAAATTTGCGGAATCAAAATTTTTCATTTTTTCGATATTTCCTTCACGGCTGCGATCTCCGATAATTTTGTTTTTCATTAATAAACCAAGGCCCGTATGCACGTACATCCCCGCGGGGAGGGGAGGGGATCTGAGAGGGGAAGCGCCATATCTCGCTGCTCTAGATCTCTTTCTTCCTTCTTCTCTATCGTGACTATAAAGTTTCTCATACCCTTATACCTGCGCATAATGGGTGCCAGGTTTTTGCTATACAAGATTAAATATTCATTATTTCTTCCGATCCCCTGGGAATCCCCAGGGGATCATCTCACATTTTCGAAGTCATTTCTTTTCCTGAAAAATCAATGAAAACGCTGCAAAACTGTACTGAAGATATACTACGATATTGCTGAGCATGTTTTCGACAGAAGAAATGGAATCTGAAGATTTTGATTTTTTTGATAATTCCTGGCCCGCGAGCAGCGGTTCATCGAAAATTTTGATATTCTGAGATTTCACTCATTTCTACCATAAACATGTTTGGCACTGCTGTAGTATATCCACAGTACAATTTTAGAGCATTTTCATCGAATTTTCAGGAAGATAAATAGGTTTGAAAATGTGAGGTGATCCCTTGGGGATCCCCAGGGGATCAGATGAAATAATGAATATCTAATCTTGTATGGCAGTAACCTGACAGCTGTTATGCGCAAGTATCAGTATATGAGAACCTTTAAAACCAAGACAGGAAAGAAGGAAAAGATACATAGACTAGCGAGATATGACGCTTCCCCTCTCAGATCCCCTCCCCTCCCCGCGGGGATGTACGTGCATACGGGCCCAAGAATAAAGCCTGGGAGGTACCAGTTGAGATAATATCTGACGGCACTGGCCTCACTCGACAAGCATGAGGAGAGACTTTTACTGTTGCTTTTTTTGAAAAAGTTTTCTACGCCATGGAGTGGCTGCGACAAGTATTCATGTTAAAGCCTCAGTTTCTCTACTTTCACAATTGTTCCAAAAAAGCGCTACTATCTATTTTGTAGGTTTACTCAATGTCTTGCTTCAGCTGTATTATCATGGAAATATCCCTTTTGCCGAGTAAGTTCAAGCCAAAATAGTGCAAAGGGTAATTTTAGTAACTTAAAGTTTCATTTTCGGATAGTTGTAGATTTTGAACAAATGAAGTTGGTCGTAGAATCATATATACAGGCTGTCCCAAAAGTATGTATGCACTGTTTGATCGTTAATATCTCTCTTCCCAAGAAGTCTTTTACCTTGCTTTAGGTACCATTTTGTAGAGCTGGCTTCAACTTAGATTTAGTTTTTACTTAGTTTTGCAGTATAGAACGAATCACCCATCTCTCTTCATTACTGTAGGATTACGGTAGAAACTTGAAACATATGGTGTCAATGTGGAAAAAGCTGCCGTTTCAAAATTTTCAAAAAAAATGTAAGAACTTGTGTAATAGGGTTTTTATGGACGCTGAGTTCAATACTCAATTATTTACAAGATTGCGAAGCTTTCTAAACGATGCAACCGCACTTTTTAGGAACATTGAAAAAAATGGCCGCTACCTTTTACCTGGCATAACTCTTCAATGACATCACAATAAGTTGGGAACTTTACAATTAGAATCAGCAACTCCAATTAGCCTAGTGTAAAATTTTTCAGGCTGTTTTGTTTCGTTTCTGTGGCAAAATATGGTCTTTCACTGCTTAGAACCCTCTTTGAAGTTTCTACTGTAATCCTACAGTAATGAAGAGAGATGAGTGATTCGTTCTATAATGCAAATCTAAGTTGAAGCCAGCTTTACAAAACGGTACCTGAAGCACGAAAAAAGACTTCTTCAGAAGAGAGATATTAACGATCAAACGTTCGATACATTTTTTTGGGACACCCTGTAAAAATGTGGAACTGACTCGTCTATTCTTGTATAGTCCCCTCCACAGATCGTGCTACCCCTGGTCTGCGTCTCAGACCTGCCACGTGTGGCTATCATGTTGGCAACATGGCAACAACATGTTTGCAACATGCCCCAACATGTTGGCAGAACATTTTGGCCACGCCAACATGTTGCTGCATGTTGCCAACGTGTTGCTGCCAACGTTGCCAATGTGTTAGTCACACGTGGCACGTCCGCGACGCCACAAGTGTGGCACGATCTGTGGAGGGGACGATAAATAACTGAACTGCTGTGCGAAGTGTGGTTTGTAGAGGATGATCGCGGCATTATGTGGCACAAATTTGGATTTAAAATCATTAGTAGTTTCGTGATTGACAACACTGCAAATTCGGCTCCCAGACTTTTGTCCCACCCTGTAGTTGAGAACGGTAGATAAGTGAAGTTTTCTAAGTTTCACATATTTGATGCTCATGAGATACAAATACAACACAGTTTCCCTTAGCACTCGAAAGTTCTCCTTGAAGGCACATGGCGACAATTTATAGCCGTATGTAAGGAACGACATAATTTCAAACTTGTCACTAATACTGTTTTACAGGAAATGGTGACTTTAGCTTAAAGCTTCTTAATTGATGAAATCTGCTGCAGGCACTTAGATTGACCGTATGGTAGTTTTTGATAGACCGATTTCTTGAAAGATATGAAAAGTCTTGGATCCAGATTGCCCTGATCCCTTTCCTTCTCCCCCTTTCCCTTACCACTTCCCAACTTTCTTTTTACTTTCCGTGGCTTCCTTAGCGAGAGCATCTTCCAAGAAGGCTCTCCAAGCAAAGCGTCGACAGTTTTGCAATTGTTTTTCTTCACCATGTGTGTTACAGTCTTTGTCCTCTTTTGAAGTTTTTAGACGCGAGTTATTATGAAAATGTATGCATACACTGCCTGTGCGATCTAACCCCAACGCCTTTCTTCACCTTCATAATACTTATTTTTTCCTAAGGACTTCCTGAAACGCGATAGCTTCCCCACTCTGATGTTTTCTCAGTAAAATTTTTTGAATTCATCCTTCTCAATACTGTGAATTTTCTGCATATCCTCACTTCTAACATCGAGCTTTCTGTGTTGATATGCAGACCGGAAGTATTTTTGACCTGACGAAATCATGGCTGTGCGATTATGTGCAACTTTCGAAAATTTCATCATTGACTCAAAAGGGCAACTTTTCAGACTGTTTACCCGCAAAGGCAGTGTTCGGGCAAAAACTTGATTTTGAGATTTTGTGCTTACCCGGGCCTATTTGCTATGCTGAATCCGAAAATGCACGCCGGAGAGTGCGCAGTCCACGAAAAAGGGCTCTAACGCAGGAGGGAAGCAAGTGGGCGGGGTCCTCTCCACTGTGAATTCACGCTCCCAGCTACCGGAGCGATCTTCTCGCTTCCGCTTTCAGGTCAACCGTTCGCACTTAACCGGTGGCTATGGTAGGACGGCTAGCGGTAAAAACGCTCTGGAATTGGAGCGTGAATACGTGAATATACAGTGGGGAGGACCCCGTCCACTTGCTGGTTCCCTCTTGCGTTAGAGCCCTTTTTCGTTGTTTTCGCGCTATCCAGTGTGGATTTCCGGATTCATCATAGCAAGTGGGCCCGGGTAAGCACAAAATCTCAAAATCGAGTTCCTGCCCGGACACTGATTTTTGCCATCCCACGACGGCGAAGGAGGGAGGGGTAGAGGATGGGAGAGGGGGAGGGGAGGGTATAGTGGACAAACATTAGCCGTGTACGCATTATACTTGGGACCGAATCGAATAATTATTCGATCATTTGAATAAATCATTCGAATGCGAATGATTCGAAAAGTCGAATATTCGAAAATCTGAGATTTCGAATAAAATTCGAAAGTCGAATATTCGAAATTTTCAGTTTTCGAATATATTCGATAGTCGAATATTCGAAAACCTCAACTTTCGAATATTATTCGATAGTCGAATATTCGAGGGTCATTCATTCGATCATTCGATGCCCATCAAATACTCGAATATTCGTTGAGCACCATATTCGGAAGTTCGATAAGAGTTGACTATTCGAAAATTCGATATACATAGCATATACGGAGTATCTTAAAAGTATCTACACACCGATTAATCGCTAATACCTCTCAAAGTCAAGTCTTTTGCTAATTTCTGGGTAACATCCAGTAGGGATGGCTTCAGCTTATAAATACAGCAAAGAGCGAATCACCCATCACCCATGTTTTTCTTATCGTGTGTTATCACGGTAAGAAATTTCAGCATATAAACCAACCGCAAAATAAGACATTCAAATAAATATCCCCAAAAAAAGGTCTAAAATCTGTGCAGCAGTGTTTATACGTATGCTACTTTTACTATGCACGAGTTTTCAAGCTTTTCAAATGGCAATCACATTTTTGAAAGGCGTTGCAAAACACTTGTTACGGTGTGCCTGGCGTAAGTTTTGAAAAAGCTTTACAGTTGAGGGCAAATTCCGCATAAAGTGAGTGTTTTCAGAAAACTAATGCAAGACTTTCGACCCATTGATTCTTTTTCAGGTCTCAAAAAAAAATTTTTGTCGCCCCCCCCCCCCCCCGAGCCGAAATCCTGGGTACGCCACTGCATCCTGCGTATTATATAGAAATAATATCATCATCATACTTTCGCCTTTCATAATTTCTCTCTCACTCTTCACATGTTATACTTTTTATTGTAGTTACTGGGACCCAGCCTGTGACTGGCCAAATCAAAGGCGCTCGGTTTCAGAACGTACCTTCTGAAATGGTAATTCTTTAGTACGCATTATAAAAAGCGATTAGCATACCCACTCAAAGATGTTTTTTCAGTAACCCATGCTGCGTGCGGTTGCACATCTCAGCCTTCGAAGACTTGGATTCGAAAGTCGGACTCGATCAACGTAAGTTTGTGTGCCTCTTTCAAGCTACTTATAGCAAGTAATTTTGTTAGGGGAGGGGGTTGTATGCCGCACCTATGATTGTGAAAGATCTCTAGTAGGCTTTTCTTACCTTAAAGGTCTATGCAGTTTGATCGGTGTAAGTAATTAGGAAACGGGGGGTGGGTATTAGCGGGTGTAAGAAATTATAGGTACCTATAGTTCGAAGTTCATCCTTGGGTTCGAGGACCTGCCGTTTATGACTGGAGCAGAGTTTGACCTGGTATAAGATCCTCCTGATATGTCTCAACCGTTGTCTGAAGTATGACGTGGCGTTTTGTAGCTGGCAAATATCATCTTCCCTCTAGTCGGAGCCGCCGCTCTCTGTCCATCTCCATTATGCACTGCATCCCTCGTCGGGTACTGGTATTGCATAAAGGAACTGCAAGCTGTAGAAGGTCTTACCACCGTGAATATCGAGTTCGTACAAACTGCTATGTGTCTTGTCAAGCAACTCTGGCATGAAATGTCAGGCAGCATGTTTACGTTAAAAGCACATGTGGGTTTTTGGAGGTCTGCAAGGGATTGAGAAATTAGGCACTTCCAGTATCTATTTGACCATTGCGTTCTCGAAGAAGTTGAACTATACGGCAGTCCTTATGTATGGAGCGCAGCCCCATTCGAATTTATTCACCGCATTCTGCAAGTTCCGCATGATCAGTATGTATCGTACTCCAATGACAGAATTCTTAATAGGTACGAAGTGATTTCAATAGGTAAATTTTGAGTGTGTCCAAATGAAGAAGCTTGCGGTGCTCATGGAAGAAGCCTTTTTGAGAAACCATTCTGGAAGATTCGAAAGTTTATTAGGCGCTATGAAGAACGAAGCGAAAGGCGAGCGAAAATTGTCACCGTGTATAGGCAAAAATACCCTTTTATTTGTTTTGAGTGAATGTCTCGGTTGAGATTCCCCCTGAAGGTGCAACTGGCGGTTGGCTATTATGTACCCGACAACAGCGAAGTGGCCATAAACACTTTAACAGAAGACCATCGGATGATGTTCAACACCATAGAGGGATGAGCAGTGTTAAATTGTAGTGCGTGTTCTGCAAAAGCTTTGATTTGCAATAATAATTAGCGGATATGCAAAAGCCGTGTTTTTTAGTTCACGTGTTGTCGTAAATGGAAAGGTTTTTTGCTCGAATAGATACTGGCAGAGAGTGTGCGATACGGATACTTCTTCTTTTTGCATAAGAGCTACGGAAGATGGCGTTACACAGATCTACTCATACGGGAAACTAGTCTTGATTGGTTTTCATGAATGTACGCGAAGTTCATTTGCTCTTATCCAACATTACACAGCCTCAAATCCCTTTCTTGATCTTGTAGAAACTTTGCACTCTCGTCCGAACAGTGATACTGCTTCAAATCTCATGCACCTCATCTCCCAAAAAAATCTCATTCTCATGAATTGTCCTTCGCAGGCGTGAAGTGGATTAACGTTACAGATATAATTAGACCAGCTGTGTGTGTGGAAATGGGATCTCCTCCCATGCCTTTTCCTTTCCTGCCTTTATATTTCTCATGAAGTTTGTTTGCAGTCGTGGTCGATATCCTCATCTGCTTGACTTCCCAAAACCTATAATAGTTTTCCTGACCAGTGGGTAATCACTTCCCACCATAGTAGAGTGTACAAACTGGTTTTTTTAGACTTCGTATTAGACACTTTTGGCTTGTTCGCAGATGAGCTTCTCCTAAGTGCCTATGAATGCGCAACATATGCTAACAAGTATAGCAAGAGATTTTTTTAGAGCTCTCTAATTGTTGTCCTTTCAGTTACTGGCGTACCCTAGGAGAGAATATGATGATGAACGCGCGAGGAGATTTGATAGCATGGTGAAAGCCAAATTCACTTATAAAAAATTTGTTCGTAAAGGGGGCTTGTAGGCTTTCATGTACCCTTCCATGTACCCTTACCCTTGTAATATATTAGGTTGCCCCGAAAGTTTTGTCGGTTTTTTCAAACCGCTATAAAACTATGCAAAATAAAGACCTGAATGAGTTACAACATGCATTCGATGCAGCTTTTTCTTCTCTTTCAGATTGGTACATTTTCAAACTACAATCTTGTATGCTTTCTTTGATAACCGCCAAAATTCTCCACCTGCCAATTTTTTCCGCTTAAAGTTAGGCTAATTTTTAAGAATTTCATTCCATGGTTTCGGAAGGGGTTAAGTATGGGTTAAATGGAGTGATTCTCGGGCATATTGCAATGTTTTTAGATTCTCCCAATCTTCTGTTTTTAGCTTTAAAAGATTATTTTTTCGGAAGTCTCGATTTTTGGCAAAGTCATGAACACGCAACCGCAGCAAAAACATGAAAGCTTTTGAAATTTCTGCGATTTGAAACTCGATTGCTAATAAACGATAATCATGCAACATGACCAAGTTTGAATTGTTTCGAAAAAGCAGCTTTTTGGAATTTTCGGTACTTTTACGTGGTAAACGCAATTAAAAAGCCGCGGTTTCATAAATAATTATAATGGACTTGAGGAACGTGGTCCATTTAATTTGAAATAAATACAATGTAGCCAAAGATTGGCTCTACACAACAGCTACTAGCGCTCTTTGAAAACATCAGAATAAAAATTTTAATAATTCAGGAAAGATTTGGCGTTAGTGCTGAACTGCTCAAAAAACCATGGCGATAACATTGCAAAGACAGGGTAGATCAGAGAGCAGATTTAGCTGTAAGAAAAAGGATAAAGATCTGAATCAAATGATACCTATGAATGATCGTCCATGAATTGGTATTCTTTGGGTTTTAGTGGGCGATGAAAAAAAATCGACAAAACTTTCGGGACAACCTAATATATATTTATATATACAGGGTGTCCCAAAAGTATGTATGCACTGTTTGATCGTTAATGTTTCCCCTCCCAAGAAGTTTTTCGCCTTGCTTCAGGCAACATTTTGTAGAGCTGGCTTCACTTAGATTTTCAGTATGGAACGAATCACCGATCGCTCTTCATTACTGTCGGATTACGGTAAAAACTTGAAACATATGGTGTCAATATGGAAAAAGCTGCCGTTTCAAAATTTCTTAAAAATATGTGAAAACTTGTATAATAGGGTCTTTATGGACGCTGAGTTCAATACTCAATTATTCACAAGATTGCAAAGCTTTGTAAACGGTGTAAACGCACTTTTTAGGAACATTGAAAAATGGTCGCTACCTCTTACCTAGCATAAATCTTCAGTAAAGCATCATAATAAGTTGGGAACTTTACAATTAGAATCAGCAACTCCAATTAGCCTAGTGTTAAGGTGTTCAGGCTGTTTTGTTTCTTTTCTGAGGCAAAATATGGCCTTTCATGGCTCAGAACCCTCTTTAAAGTTTCTACCGCAATCCTACAGTGATATCTCCTCCATGACGAAGGCGGTCGCCCAAATAGGTTGACAGCATGCAAGGCTGACGCGCACGTGGCGCGCGGGCAATTTTCAAACACGGGACGCGCGCACGCCCGCGTGGATGGCCGCTGACCGAGCGTGCGCGCCCTGTGGTCGACAATTGGCCGCGCGCCGCGGCCTTGCGCGCTTTCAACCTATTTGGGCGACCGCCTTCGTCTTGGAGCAGATATTAAGGAGGAGAGATGGGTGAATCGTTTACTGAAAATCTAAGTTGAAGCCAGCTCTACAAAATGGTACCTGAAGCAAGGCGAAAACTTCTTGGGAAGAGAGATATTAACGATCAAACAGTGCATACATACTTTTGAGACAGCCTGTATATATTACTTCTACGACCAACTTCATTTGTTCAAAATCTATAACTATCCGAGAATGAAACTTTAAATTACTAAAATTACTCTTTGCACTATTTTGGCTTGAACTTACTCGGCAAAAGGGATATTTCCATGATAATACAGCTGAAGCAAGACATTGAGTAAACCTACAAAATAGATAGTAGCGCTTCATTTGAACAATTGTGAGAGTAGAGAAACTGAGGCTTTCACATGAATAACTGTCGCGGCCACTCCATGGCGTACAAGACTTTTTCAAAGAAAGCAACCAGCGTCGGATCTTCTCAGCGATTATTCCAGCGTCGGATCTTCTCAAGTAGAAGCTAATCTCCACCAGCGAGACCCGGTTACCAAAAGCGTTTGTGTTCTTTGAGTAAAGGCTCATCCAGCGAGACCCGGTTGCCAAAAGCGCTTGATTTCGTCAAGTAAACGCTTTCCTCCACTAGCGAGACCCGGTTACTAGTAACGTTTTTTACCAGCCCCGTTATTCCGGTGTCGGATCTTCTCAAGTAGAAGCTCATCTCCACCAGCGAGACCCGGTCAAAGCGGGTGCGTGGCGTTAGGTACTCAGCCGAGGTGCGGGCGTTAGGTACCCAGCAGTGGCGTACCCAGGATTTCGGCTCGGGGGGGGGGGGGGCGCGGCAAAAAAATTTTTCAAATGAAGGTGCGTGGCGTTAGCCACGCACTCCGAAAATTTTTTAGGGGAGCTTTTCAACAATTTCGCGGGCCCCCAACCCCTAAAATCTGGAAAAAAGGGGCGTGGCGTCAGCCACGCCCCCGAAAAATTTTTTTCAATAAGGCTAATTTGAATTTTTAAAAAATTTTAAAAATAATTTTAATTGTTTACAAAAATAAACAAGTCATTTGCACATTTTTATAACGCATGTAAGTAGCTTTCAAAAATTTCGCGACCCGTTCTCGGGGGGGGGGGCGCGCCCCCCCCCCCCCCCCGCCCCCCTCCCTCGGTACGCCACTGGTACCCAGCTACAGGGTGCGTCAAAAGTCTGGGAGCCTAACTTTGCAGTATTGCAATTACAAAGGTACTTATGGTTTTGATTCCAATTTTATGCCACATGATGCTGCGTTCATCCTCTACAAAATACACTTTATCTAGCTGGGAATGGCTGCCATATGTTTTGGTAAGATTGGAAAACAACAAACTAGTACTTTTGCAAAGCCAAAAAACCAGAATTTTTGGTATTTGCAATTTTCGCTATAGCTAGAA